ATCAGTATTTCATTTTTCCCACTTCAACTCTCTCTCTCTCTCTCTCTCTCTCTCTCTCTATATATATATATATATATATATATATATATATATCGCTGCTGGAGATACCTCGTATCTCCATTTTTCCAAAGGAAATGATCCAGAAAGTCTGGTTCCATTTACTTACATTAAAAGTAAAGTAGGTTTTCTCCTCCTCCTGTAAAGTTATTACTTTGGAGATAAGTAGATTTCTTCAGATATATATATAGATATAGGGTATAGGGTCAGATATATATATATATACACACCCAGATATTCATAATTATTTCTCGAATGACTTGGCAAACTCTCTGCACATCATCTGAGTCAAATAATCACTGAATTTTACAGTAAACTAACTGTAAACAGTGAGACCAGCACACTGTGGTCTGTATTATTAGACACACGCTGGAGCCTGTGTACCTTCTGAACAATAACAGACATTCAGCGTAAAGTCAATCAGTCAGCGGCCCCTGCAAACATCCTCCAGCCTGACCTCGCTCTGCTCTTTCCCTTCCACAGCTCATTCAGCCTGGTGGTACACGGATGAAAAACAGGTTTGAAAAACAGGCAACAAACATGTTTTTCTTGTATTCACAGCCGCCTGCTGTATGCCACTGTTATTCAGCACACAGCAGTCACGCTCAGATCAGATCTTTTTCACAGCTATTGTAAACTGTTGTAAAGGCTCTGTCGGGCTCCAGTAAACAGATGTTTCTTTTGTGTGTATAGATCACAGCAGAGGTTCTGGAGTCTTTACTGTAGCCTTCATTCATTGTCTGCAAACAAAGCAGTATCTTTCTGTATTCAGAAGGCTGGAATGTGATCGGTTCCAAGACAGAGTTAGTGCAGGACGTTGCTATAAGTGATAACACCTGCATCCTGTATGCCAGTGAATGGTTGGACAACGCTTCGAAATTGAGGCCAGAAAATTTAGAAACATAACAGTTGTTTAGTCACAGTCCATTGTGGAGGTGTTTGACCATTAGAGCCTTTGAACACAAGAAAACAGTCTTAACTGAAAGGGCACATATCATGGAAAACTACATTTTCCAATATAAGGAAAAGTATGGAGTATGTTAACATTGTTAAAGTTTCAAAACATATTAAATTCCTGCTCAAAACAGTCCATATATGGAAACTAAGCAGCAAAAACGGCCTGTTTTGAGTTCCTTGTTTTTGTGATGTCACAAAAACCAACATATATTAATACATCTGCTTAATGAGACCACAGCAGATTAGCCCCGCCCACTGAGGCTGAAGTTATAAAGGGTGTTTTAACCTGGGCTTAATAGAGGTCAGCCAATCAGAACAGAGCTCATTTACATATATCACTCTTAAAGGCACAGTAACAAAAACAACCAGTTTAAAGGGCTCATATCCAACATTATTCTTACATTTTATGATATTTGTGTGGAGTCATAACTCATTTTTAGATGACTACTTTCCAATCTCTTTTTATTCCTATTGGCTGTTTTGTGTTACTGAACTTTTAAGACCGGTATATGCAAATGAGCTTGGCTGTGATTAGCCGCTCTGTATTGCACCTTCTTCAAAATGCAGTCTGGGTTAAAACACCTTTTGTAATTTCAGCATGAATAGTTAAACTGGTTAACCGGAGTTAATGTGCTCTAGGCTGAGGAAGTGGACATGTAAAGATGATGGTTTGAGTGACATCACAAAAACAGTGAGTTCTATGTTTAGCAGCTTTTTTTCCATATATGCACAGTAAAGCCTGGGGAGTGAATGCTATGTTTTGAAACTTTAGTAATGTTTTCGTACTATGTCAACTCTTTTATTTCAAATAAGTGAGCATAGTTTTTTGTGATATGGGCTTTTTAATTCTAAAAGATTAAAAAAATGTTGGTCAGGTCATGAGTTATGACTGGTTTTGGGACATAAAGCCATACAAGCTTCATAAGCAGAAATTGAGAGGGAAAATAAAGATCAAGAAAAAAATATTAAAAATGAGAAAATATCCTGTGTGATACTGGCCCTTTAAAGAACCTTTTTTAAAGCTTAGCTGATGTTTACTGGTGCACTGCTTCTAAATACGTTAAAGTACAGAAAATGGGATAATTACTGCACAGAAGTTATTTTTAAGTGTTCCCAGTGTGAGATGACTGGACAACGCTTTTGAACTGAAGCCACAGAAACACAACAGTGCTGAAAGTGATACTATATTGAAGGGGTAATGTATTGGCCCATTTGAACACTAGTAAAATGTAGTAGCTGTTGATGTTTGAGCCACAAACAGCATGTGGAGCAACTGGAACAGACAATCTGCCATTTTGAATGGATTAACTAGGAATTAGCAGAAAACAACCAGCTACATATGGCACTGTTGATATTTATCAGCTTTTATATTAGGGCAGTTGATGATTATCAGATTTTATCCAGGCCTGGGGTCATGTTAGCGCTCATACAGGCCATCTTTCATGCGTTTGCTTTGCTTAAATGAAGCTGCCAGCAGGCCTGAATGGTAGCCACAGGTCAGGTAATGGTGCTGAGGAAACACGTGCACTGTCACGAGCGCCATCTTTAGGAGCGTTTTGCTACTGCAAACACATAGCTGAACTGCAGGTGATCGCGCCCTCTAGTGGCTTCTCTGAGAACTGCACTACATGGCAAACCTTCTACAGGAGCTGTTGCCTGCTGCACAATGTGGAACAGGGCACAGGTTGATTTGAAGTGTTTTTGAGGTTTGAATTTCTGTAAAATATTGCTTTTGTTCATCTAAATTAAATGTTGCTTTGCAGTATTTCATTTAAAATATTATTTAAGTTGAATGAAACCAGTTAAATTGATTGCTACCACATGGAGTAATCTTTTAGGTTGAATGCACAAACCATTTTTCTTACAGCATGGAGATTAAAACACTGAACCTTTCAAGCTGTCAAAAGAATGAATTGTTCAAATATTTTATGATGACATCATATTTTGTGATACACTCTCAGAAATAAAGGTAAACTGTAGTAAACTGTTTCTAGAGTGGTACCCCTTATATCACTGGGGTGGTGCCCTCATGCGTAGTACCTTTGGCTGGGGAACATAATTGTACCATTTTCTGTTGCAACTGTATTGTTTAAAGGGCCCCTATCCTACGTTTTCTCATATTTTATCTTTTCACATTTGTGTGGGTTTATGTACCAAAAATGGTCATTTTTATATTCATTTTTACATGATCATTTTCCAACCTCTCTTTATCCCTTTGAGGATTAAACAGGCTGCTTTGTTACTATGTTTTTAAGACTGATACGTGATAAATAAGCTCTTTTCTGATTGGCTGTCATGGCCCTCATTTAAAAAGCTTAAAACTTCAGGATGTATGGGCGTGGCTGAACTGCTGTAGGCTGAATAGATGGATATATGTAAATGAGTTGGATGTAATGTCTTATTTAAGGTACCCAATTGGACTTTAAGGCTCCTGGGTACATTTACATTGTTTCTACACTTTCGAAAAAAAAGGTATGAAACTGCCACTGGGGCAGTCCTCCTCTTGTCACTGGGGTGGTACCCTCAAGGGTACATCTCAGTACCTTTAGTCAGGGAACATAATTGTACTATTCTCCATTAAAATTCTATTTTCTAAGTTGTACTGACTCCACACACCCTGTCTTGTCTCCAGACTTTTTTATTTTATTGTTCTGGTTTAAAACATTAGGTTAGGTTTGTATGATAAGGTACAAATATATACTTTTCACCTGGAAAAATGTATTTAAGGTACAAAATTGGACCTTAAAACTACTGTTGTACCTTGAACATTTACATTGTTTGTACCTTGATGAATGAAAAAATGCACCTGCATAGCACTTCCATTTCCAGTGTAGAAGCGTTACTTATTATGACGTATACATCTTGCGTCTCAAACTATTTTTTAAAAAAACAATTGGTACATGTATAAATTTATTATATGATAAAATATCCCTATCTCTGTTTTTTGTATTTTTAACCCTTTTGAGGGTTAAATGGTTTAATAAAATGAAGTTAAAATAGAATGAGACTATGCCACATTTTCAAAGTTTCAATTAATTTGAAAATGAATTCAGAGCCATTAGCCAACTGTGTTTTGCACACAAAGGAATTAGACCTCCGCATTTAACGCATCCATTCAGTGAAACACCCATATACATGCACACTTGTGAACACACACACTAGGGGGCAGTGAGCAGTGGGCAGCCTTATCCACAGCGCCCAGGGAGCAGTTGGGGGTTAGGTGCCTTGCTCAAGGGTACTTCAGTCACATACTGTCGGCTGAAGGGATCGAACCGGCGACCTTCCGGTCACAAGGCTGGTTCCCTAACCTCCAGCCCACAATATTTTTTACGCTTGAAATATCTTAAATGTGAAAATATTTCCTTATGATTAAAAACACTAATTGTGGTGTTTAGCTTATATTATTTATCATACATTATTGTAATATAATAATGGACCAGGTATTAAATATTATAATAAGTTAATTATTGACTAAAACTATTATTATTAATACGACAAGTAGACAATGTAGTGTACATTTGAATGTATATATTTATACCATCAGCCATCAGGTAACAATACACTTTAATAAATTCTTGTGTCTTTTCTGATTTTACCCAATGCTTCATAGCTAGATCATAGTGTATTATTTATAAATGGTCAAAGGAAAATACTTTAAATAGCCTTATTGATTTACAAAGGTATTTTAGTGGGAAATTAAAAAGGGCAAGAATTTCATTCATAACCTACAAGATGCACAAACATTACAACAACTGAATCCGAAGATAGATAGATAGATAGATAGATAGATAGATAGATAGATAGATAGATAGATAGATAGATCTCTGACTCTCTGATCTGAAAAGGCTGCTGGTTAATAACCTGTAGAGTAATAATAACAGTGGTATGGTACGGCGCTGTATCCAGGAGGCGGGGCTTGACTCTGCTGCGCGTGACGCGCAGGTACAGTGATCTGAGTGTGAAGTGTGAAGTTGAGAATGCGCGCTGGACGATACAGACCTCCCTCAGAAAACAGCAGCTCCCTGCGAATCACTGCTCTGTGAATGGAAGCGTCCTGATATGAAACATGCTGAACTGTGTTCCGCTCGCGAGGAGCCTGCTGTGGAACTTGTTTTTGCTGCTGTGTTTGCTGAGAGGACGGGGGCACGGAGGTGAGTTATTATGGATCATAGTGAAGAACCCCCCTGTCGTGTAGCAGCAGGGGCGGATGACCTGATTCACTCATTAAGTGCTTTATGGACAGTGTGGTGATGCATGTCTTCATAAAGTGTTTAGCACTTCATACAGTACAGCGCATCATGGATTGACTTTAGACGCTCACCAAAGTTCTCCACACAGTTCCTACTAAATTTGAGCCTTACAGTGATGACTCCTTAGGGGGGAATCATTCAGCACCGTAAAGTCTCTCATGTGCTGCTTTAAAGGACAATTCCATGTATATATGGCTATATTTGCTCATTGTGACCCCTGGTTCCTATCACTACCACTGTAAAGAAATCAGAGTTAGTAAGTTTCTCTACAGTTAACCACTTCACAACAAACCGCCACTCTGAATGACTTTGTTGACATAACAAAGATAGAATTATGCAGAAGATTTGAAAAATTCCCCTTAAACTTTCTTAAGTAATGAGAGATGAAGTACTGCTGAAATCCAGGAGAAAGTGGGATAAACTTGGCTGTTCTTTTGCTGATGCTGAGGACTTTTCAAAATAAGATTTCTTCACTTAGTTGTGGCTCCTGGTCCCCAGGTGACCCCAATGACAGATGAGTGCAGGAGTGGTGGTACACCATGCAAAACCCATAGGCTGTCGTGTCTGAGATATTATCAACACCTTGGTGTACAAAGTCACTTACACTCATGTCTGGCTTTGGATTAATTATAATCCGCTCTATCCGCGTTCATGCTGCTGTTTACCCCATTGAAGCCAGACTGAAGACTGTGTCAGCAGAGACACTACAAGCTTTCACTACAGTGTAAAAGTACTGCAGTATAAACCGATACTGAGGAACCCATTTGGGCCATACTACCATTGCAGTGGCAAGTGCTGGCCCTCTTTGAAGTCATTAAAAAGAACTCAAAATAAGAATAATCAACAGAAGTTTCATGTCTGTGTATTATTTGTTCTGTTCCCAAATTAGCCAACAAAATACTATGCTAATTCTTCTTTTTGAATTTTTATTCTAGTGATGTTATGTCATGTTGTGCATGTAAACATGTCACAGCAGATGCCCAAGTCCTAATTTTTATGTTACACAATAATTTTGATGCTTGTTTTTCAGTTTAGATTGCAAAAAATGCATTGAAATTATTGTCTGTCCTGTGTTAAAATTTTTTGTCAGTGTTGTTACAGAAATGTCATAAAACAACAAAAAAAGGTCTTTTTGAATCATTTATTGACTGGATATCAGAAAGGTTAAGTCATAGAAGTTGAGTGAATGAAATCTCTTTTTATATTACTGATACATTTACCTACCACAAAAGATTGTCAGCGGTGTTACTCCTGAACCACTAAGTGATTTGAGAATTTAGCTAAAATAACATCGTGAATGCATTATTAGTAATTTTCTACATACAGTGTGACTTTAAAACTGAAGTGGTAGTTGATAATATTTTAGAAATGGCCAGATTTTGCTAATTCTGTCAGTGGTGGTCTGGTCAGTGGTGTTACTGATGTTGTTCAATATAACTGACTACTTTTTACTTTAAATATCAACTTTCCTACCTGGTTTGCCACCACAATGGTAAAGTCTTCCTTATAGTCTCTCAAGATCTTTGTATCTACCTTATAAAATGCAAAAAAAGTCATTGAGGTTCTAAAGGGATGCAGTAATTTTGTCTGAAATGGAAAAATGTCCATGACATAGACCCCCACAATGTCCAGAGAGCTCAGAAACAGACTTTGTATTTAGGCTAGTAGGTACTAATGACACAGATCAATCACACAATGTCTGTTTCTCAAGGGTTGATATCTAGAACACAGTTTTTTTCACTATGTTTCACTTGGAACCTAGTCAGTTATTGCAATATGTATCATACTGTTACAGCTTGGCTCTCAGAACATAATAACAAACCACACCACATGACTCTGATGTGAGAACGCAACACATTCATTCAGACGGTTCATCTTCCAGCTTATCCTCTTCCACAGATAACATTTAATCCTGATTGGCACCATTGACACACTGCTCTACAAATAATGTGCGCCCTGTTGTGCTTTTAAAAAGGCACTCAGTGCATTAACATACATTAATTGAATTCAGATAAAGCATTAAGAGTGGTGCACAGTGAACCACTTAGTCTATCTGAAGCGCTGTAGGCCATCAGCGCAGTGGAAGAGGAACAGATGCTGCAAAGTTGATTAGGCTGACTGGCTGTTTCTCATAATGGAAGGAGTATTTAGAAATATGATGTGATGAGACATTTATAAGAGCATTAAAGGATGAAGTTGCATTATATATTCATGTTAGCTTATTTGTGTGGTCTCATACCCAATGAAAACATGGCAAACTGATGATTCTGTGTATACCGCAAATATTATTAATCCACTTTTATGGCCTTTGCCATAAGCACTGCTTAGTAGCTATACAAGACAGAGGTAGAGGTGTTTCAAGTCCAAGAGAGAGTTTCATGGCCTCTAGCACTGGAAAGGAATGTGTGGGATGTGCTCAGTGCTTAACAGTGATATAATCTTCCATGCTGACATAAAGTAGCCATGTGGAGCACAGCAGTTATCTTCATCATCCTGAAAGCTGCAGGACGCTGACTTAAAGTGGATTTCCACTGATTTTCTGAAATGTTTGCTTAATTGAATCATTACGATGTAAAATAAACTCATTCAAAGTGGTTTGATGTGAAATTATGTGTTTTAGAGAAACTTATGGAGAATTGTTCACAGTGGTGGTGATAGACATCTTAAGCATTTATTGCCTCTAAAAGCCAAATTACATAAAGCTATTGTATGAAATGGTTATGAATACGCTATCTGATACCTAAAATATTGTTTTTTTTCGATAGCATTTTGGTCTAAACCTTAATATTTAAAATACATGCAGGACAGAGAGGTGCATGGAGGGTGTTGTAAGGCAAAATAGTACCCAAAGAAAACTTGTTTATGAATATTTATATATATATATATTATGTATTAGATAATACTAGATATGGATAGAAGATACAAGATGTCAGTATGTATGTGCAGGTATAGACTTGCTAGACTGCAGTTACAGTAAGATCAGAGTGTTTGAGGTGTGGATGTGGTGTGGATTGTCCGTGGAAATCATCATGATGATGATTCGCTCACAATCTACTGATTAAGTCTCCTGCTTACTTTACAGCCTCTTTCTATGGAGATGGTTTTGTGCAGCTGAAAACTGTGGAGTCGTCCAACAAAAACTCCCTGCATGTGCGCTTTCGGACCTCCAGCCCAGACGGCCTGCTGTTCCTGGCTGCTGGGGAGAATGACTTCCTCTGGGTGGCGCTACACTCTGGACGCATTCAGGTGCATCCTTTTACATTCATTAACTCCTTAAATGGTTAGAGCCCCACCTGTGGGCCCAAAATTTTATTACACAGTTCTATAACTAGGAATAGCTTAGCCAGTTTGTATTGAAGTCCCTGTAGTTACTGAATATTAAGCATTGGTATGTATTAAGCCTGGGATTTTAAAGGCGTTAATAAAATGTGTCCCCCAGTCTAAATAGGCCACTCTGTTTTAGGTAATCAGCTGTGAATTTTCTGAAAGCAGAAGTGTACCTTTCAATCTAATTTGCTTTTTTAGGTTAAAAAAACAGTACTGTGTAAAAGTCAGAGACCCATCATTTATTTAATTTACAGGCAAAAGCCAGTACAAGTTATTTATTTTTCAGAAGATATTTCTGAGAAGATTAGATATAGGATAACTCACTCACTTAGGGAAAGATAAAGCTTTCATCTTTGAGAGAGAGGAGAAAATCAAGCTGCTTCAGATCTGAAAACATCCACAGGTGTTTCTGTCGATCCTTCCACTGTGAGAAGACAACTCAGCGCTATGGGTCTAAAAGGATGTGTAGCTGTCAAGAAGCCCTTACTGAGAAAAGGAAACAGACACATCAAACAAAGAAGCCGCTCTGTACAATGGATTCGACCACCCCAGAGTGGTCTCTGAATGAAGGGTGGTCTCTGACTTCTGTACAGAACTGTACATATTTTATATTAAAGCTGAGTTTGCACATACAGTGAGATATAAGTTGTTGATAGACTTTGATATGCAAGCTCAAATAAACCTCTGCAGTTTTGAACTGACCACTGACACAGACTTCTATAAACTTTAATAGTTGGAGAAGAATTTTTTTTTTTTTGGAAATAGTAATGCAATCCAGACTGAAGGAGTGCTCCTAACATTGCATATACCTGCAATTTCTTCCATGGGACTGCGTAGTAATAAAGAAGGACACAGCAGACAGTGCATACATTTAATTAAATGAAATGATCTAAACGCAGTCCCGCTACAAGTCTCTCTTTATGCAGCCCAACTAGATAATTCCTAAATCTCAGATAATTACCAACCTCCCACAGATGTCTGGTAAACACGGCAGCAGTTATTATCTTCAGGATCCCTGGGGCGGTAAAAACAAAAGACAGGTGATTTCTTGCTACCTCCAGACAAAGAGGGCTTCTTATAGAGCGAACCCCTGCTGACATCATTTTGAAAACATGTAGCCTCATGTTTTCTGTGTTGAGGCTACTGATAGTAGATATTTTACCTGTTGATTTTACCATTTCTGATTTGAAGAACTTGAATTGATTTGTTGTTCTTTAAAGGAATTAAATTAAAGTACAGTAATTGGACACTTGAACCATTTAAACACTGGTAAACTTGGATGCATTTCTTTAGGTTGCTGCATAAAATGTTTAAAAAAATAATATTTGTTTAGGAGACAAATTTTATCATGACTCGAACCTGATGCTAGATTCTTTGTGTAAAGAAACCCTGGAGAGTTCTGGCCAGACTGTAATGCAGGGTTTTCCACCACTGGACCGCGGACCAGTGCTGGACCGTGGATCATTCGATCTTGGAAAGCAACAAAGCGACAGGTAGTGGGGGACGTTTGAGGCTTAATTCTTGCATTTAAAATTCTCATTTAATGGAATGCTAATTTTATTTTCAACATATTGGATTAAAGATAAAAGATTTAAAAATAATTAAATCTAAAACGATAGCAATTGCATTAAATATCGCCATTGGGAATGCTAATGTGACTAAACCATTGTGTGTGTTAGGAGATATGCTAGTGAATGAGGCCATGAAGACAAAACATCTCTCGACAGCAGCAAAACATAGGCTAATTACATATGGCACAGCACCCTGCCCAACCCCGCCCCCAGTACGCTCTTCCCTATCACAACCGCTGTGGTGTGTGGTTCCGTCTGCACTATTAAAGGGGAATTCTAGTAATTTTTCAAAATTTCTGCATAATTAAAACATTAAGACGTAAAGTCATTCAGAGCGGTGTGATGTGAAATGTTTCATTTTATATAAACCTTTAGAATAGTTTACAGTGGTGTTGATAGGAACCAGACATCTGAAGAGTTTAATGTCTATAAAAGCTCCCTCACAGAAAGTGATAAACCTTTAGCTGCAAATATATTGTTTACATCACATCCGTGGTGGAGAGCTACTTGCAATGCATGGTAAGGAAAAACATACCCAAAGAAAATGTTATTTTTCAGATTTAAAACTATTTTATTACTATCAACTCAACACTGAAGACACATGTACGTGCACTGGCCATTTTGAAACGGCTGTATTTATGTTCATTGCAACCCCTGGTTCCTATCACCACCACTAGGAAGGAAAATTGAGATGGTAAGTGTCTCTAAAATGTGCCATTTCACAACAAACCACTCTGATTGACTTTGTTACAGTCACAAGAATTTAATTATACTGAATATTTGATAAAATGACACAATTTCCTTTTTAAAAAGATTGGCAACCCTGGTGGGATCATGAGCTCAAAAGTGTACAAAAACATTTTGAATGTAAACCTGCAGAAGTCTGCGAAGAAAAAATGATGTTAAAATGATGATAATTTAAAACTTTATCAAAGAATACTTTTCCAAAAAAGAAAATTACAGTCTTCAAATGGTCAGTTCAAAATAAACACTGCTTTGTTTGACATTTAGGTTCCTTACACAATGAATTTAATACATTTTACTACACAAATATATAAATACTTTTTTTGGGACCACAAGCACCTGCTTGGTTCAGTTTGTGACATTATACTTCACACTGTCAGTTCAGTTTGTGCAATAGTTGATCATTGTATTAAAACATTATCTTCCTCACAGGTGCGGATTGAGCTTGGATCAGGGGAGCGCACCCTTCGGTCAGAGAAAGGGGCACCTTTGAATGATCTGATGTGGCATACCATAGAACTTCATCACGATGAGCATAATGTTACCCTGACTGTGGACAAAAACTCCCACAGCAGTCTGAGGATGCCAGGACCTGACTTGGAGCTCAGTATCCAGGAAGGCCTCTATGTAGGTGGTCTTGGAAGTTTGGATAAGCTCTACCTCTTCGATGACATGTGCCCTGTGGGCTTTCGAGGTTGCATGGATGAAGTGCTCTTTAATGAACACAATCTTCTATCATCCTTAAGGCCTTATTCTGGCTTCAAAATGGTCCATGAGGTGTCGTTAGGCTGCAGCCCACAGTTTTCTGCCACTGTAAATGACTCTATCAGTTTCTTCAGTTCCAAGGCCTACATGTCTCTGCCTGTGTGGGAGTTTCCACAGGAAGGGGTGCTTGAATGTGAGCTTTACACATCAGCTGAAGAAGGGCTCCTTTTGTACAGCTCGGCGGGGCAAGGGGACTATGTGGCCCTGGAGATACGAGACAGGCACCTTGTTGCAGTTGTTAGAATAGGTGGAAGTAAGACTGCGTTGCGCGCCACAGCGGCAGTGAATGAAGGAGGCTGGCACTCAGTGCAGCTTTATCTGGCCCCTAGGGCCCTCCACTTAACTGTAGGTGAGGAGATCCTCAATTCTAGCTTTGGGGCCAAGTCTAGGCCCCTCCAGCTCAGTGGACCCCTCTTCCTGGGAGGGGTGGATACAAGCACTCATGCGGAAGTCCGCAGGAATGGCTTGCTCTCTGTAGTAGGGAAACGTATAGGTGGAGGCTCCTTTAAAGGCTGTCTTAGAAATATTAGAGTTAATGACCAAAACATGGGTCTGCCTAATGCTGTGGTCACCAAAGATGTGTCTGTAGGTTGTGAGCCAGTGAGGCATGTTGAACCTGTGACCACTGTAAGTCCTGTGACAACTCAGCCAGACACCACTGAACAACCTGAAGTGGACAGAAAGAAGGTCCAGACCTTCTTACTACTCCAAGACTTGGAGGTCCTGGAGGGTGGAAGAGCGCCACTCGAGTCAAAACACATTAAGGTGAACCTACAGTTCCGCAAACTTGGGATCCGTCAGTCCCAGATCATGTTCCGTATTGAGGAGCAGCCAGTCCATGGGCAGCTAAGGCTCGATGTTGACCCAGATCAAGAGGAAAATACCTTCAGTATGCTGGACCTTTGGCACGGTAGGGTCATGTATGTACACGGAGGCTCTGAGGATCCTCTGGACTTCTTCATATTTTCTGTCTTCACCAGCAGCAAGAAAGAAGTGCCTGGTTATCTGAAGGGGAACCGCTTACACAGGTTCAACATCACTGTCGAGCCTATTAATGATGCCCCAGAACTCAGCCTGCCAGAAGGTAACCTCTTTGTTCTTCTGGAGAACTCCAAACGGCGTCTAACCACGGACATGCTCAGGGCCATGGACCCTGATACTAACTCCACAGAACTGATTTTGACTCTATTAGGTAACCTAACTGCAGATGCTGGATTCCTAGAACTTGAGGATAACCCTGGACAAACTGTGAATTCATTCTCCTACTTGGATCTGGAGCTGGGTAAGGTGAGTTATGTTCACACAGGCATCAGGAACTCTAGGATGGCCATCAGGGCAAGCGATGGGGAAAAAATGAGCAATACTGTTGTGCTAAGGGTCATGGCTATCACATTGGAGCACAAAGTTGTGAATAACACAGGTGTGGAGGTGACCCAGGGTGGAGCTACCCACATTGGTAATAAGCATCTGGCTGTGCAAGTGAATGTGGCCATGCAAGCAATGGATATCCGGTACGATGTCATAGAGCCTCCAATTTATGGTGAGTTGCAGCGCCTGCATTCTAGTGGAGAATGGAAGCAAACCAGCACCTTCACGCAGAAACTTCTGGAAAAGGAACGACTCAGGTATCTCAGCACATTTCAAGCAAGTCAGTTGAGTAATGTCACTGACAGCATCAAGTGCAAAGTCACAATTGGCTCGCTGTCTACAGATGAGGTTGTCTTCGTGATACGGGTCCGATGGATTCATTACAAAGTCCCAAGAAGTAAAATGGAGGTAGACAGTGATCGTGCAGTCATATTGACACCTCAGGAATTTCGGGTAGTCTCAAAAGGTGTAAAATTGTCAGAGGATGACATTTATATACGTTTGTTGACTTTACCAAGGAGAGGGTACTTGCTGTTTAATGATGAGGTCCTCAAGAAGAATTCTACTTTCAGCCAGAGGAACATCACAGATCACAAACTCCAGTATAAGCTTTTTGAGAAGGCACTTGAAGACATGAGGGACATGTTCAGTTTCCAGGTGTTCTCAAAATACTCCCGCTCTGGAAAACATGACTTCAGGATCGGCATCAAAGGAGATGTTCATAGCATAGTCTTGAGAAACCATGGTCTTTCTGTCTTAGAAGGGGAGAGTAAGGTCATAACCAAGCATGTGCTTTTCTCAGAGACTCTTAGTTCCAGAGATGTCCATTACCTTATCACAAGCAGCCCTCAACATGGGAAAATAGCGAGAATAAACCATTCCAATTCCACCACCAGCAGTGACAACATAGTGGAGTTTACCAACCAGGATATTCTGGAGGACCGTATCTTGTATGTTCACGATGATAGTGAAACCACACATGATGCATTCCTGTTCCGTGTTTTCTTGTCACCTCTGAAAGACAAAGTTCCAGTCGCAGAGGGTACTTTCAACATCTCCATCCAGTTGGTCAATGATGAAAAACCTGTCCGTGTCGTAGATAAAGTTTTTCATGTTGCCCGTGACAGTCAGAGGCTGCTGACATTGGAGGACCTCTGTTACCATGACCCTGATTCAGACTACGATGATGGACAGCTCCTTTATACCAGGCGGGGAATCCCCATGGGGGAGCTAGTCTGGGTAAATGACACATCCCACAAGCTTTACCAATTCCATCAGAGGGATCTTGAAGAAAAGAGAGTGCTGTTTGTCCACAAAGGGGTCAGCTTCGGTCGCTTTGTTCTCTTCATAACAGATGGTAAGCACTATACCTCAACACTGCTGGAAGTCAGTGCCCAGGACCCATATTTGAAGGTGGCCAACAACACTGGTCTTCTGGTCCAGAAAGGCAAGGAGGTCATTTTGAGACCTGCTAACTTCAGCGTTACCACCAATGTGGACATCAGAAGTGATGAGGATGTGCTTTTTGAAATATTTCATCCCCCAAGTTATGGAACTCTACTCTGTGATGGTGTGGAGGGTGATGCTTTTACGCTGTATGATGTGAAGGCAGCACATGTCATGTATCATCATGATGACAGCATGAACATGATGGACACTTTCAGCTTTACTGCCTCAGTAAATGGGCTGCGTTTGGATGTGACTGTGTCAGTGAAGGTGTACCTTGAAAGTCATCAGCGCCCTCCGCAAGTCATACACAACAACTCTGTACTGGTGGAAGAAGGAAAACCAGTTAAAATTCACAAAAAGGAACTTGAGGTTTGTATTACATCACTATCAATCATGCTATTTGTAACATAAAGGGGTTAAAATAGCCTTAGTTTTAAATCAGTCAGTAAAGTTATCTTTTAGCCACCAAACAGGTAGATATTTTAATAAACAGCCCAGAGTCTGCCATGCTTGGGACACAACCATTTCTGGTACATATTCTGGCCAAAATAAAATAGTGTTACTGTCACTATATCCAGTGTGCGAAATAGCTCTGGTATTCAGGGGATCCCGTGTTGTCTGGTTTCCCCAGTGTTGGTCTGCGGCCATAGTGGTGCTGATTGGTTTCACAATTCTTCTTCTGAAAATGCTAGATTTTCTAGCTTGGTAATGTGGTCTTCCACGTATTAATTGAAATCTTAAACATCTCCTTTTTTGTCTTAGTTTGAAAAATGAATAACAGTTCACTCTTTCCACCAGTCTATTGGGAAACTGGGCAAATGTCCAGATTCACAAATGTGCTACAGCACATTTTAAAGTTTTTCTGAGGTATTTCGTGCATAGTTATACTTGCTAGGCTATGAAGGATCAACTGGGTGAATCAATTTGCTACAGTACCACCCTGAGACAGACCAGCACTGCATCTCTAGTTAGTTAGAAATAATAAGACAGAAGTTTGCAGATTGTGGGTGAAGCAGCTAAACAATGACCTTTCCCTAAATTTGGATTTGAGCATCTGCTTTTTCCTAATGGACAGCATAACGTCATAATATGTTTATTTTCAGGGACCCCCCCAGTATGCTGATTTTGATAGATTCAGGGGGTTTATTAGGTTATATATTGCATTTACATAACGCATGCTGGGTGTTATAGTAAGGGGACACAGATGACATGAAAATTATATAAAATTGTGAACTCCTCTGTCAAATCAATGAGGCTGAGGAATACACAGTCTCTCTCTATATATATACATAAATCAACAAAAACATATTATTTAACTGTGGGTGTTCAAAATTTTGCAAGCAACTGTAATGCTGTAAACACCATGCAATAACACAACGAATAACATGTTAAACTCTACTTTTAGGCTGGAATGCCCCTTTCATGATTGAGTGGTCTGTTTTGCTCCAGGTGGTTCATGAGGACAGCACACCAGATGAGATTGTGTATTCAGTGAAGACTCCTGCCTCGTATGGCTTCCTACGGCGTTATGTGGAAGGAGAGGACCACTACCAAGGAACACTTGAAAAGCCCATTCAAACTTTTTCTCAGGGAGACATCAATACAGGACACATGCAGTATGTGCAAGTGAAACATGGACATTCCAATGACTCTTTCTCACTGGATGTCACCAACGGGATTCTCACAGTCAGTGACCTCATAGTCTCAGTGGAGATTATCCCGTTGCACATACCGCTAGAAGTTTCAAACCTAACCTTGAAAGAGGGATCTTCAAAGGCCCTAACTCAAGAGGTCATCAAGGTCACAAGCAGACACTTCAAAGGACTCCATTTCCAGTATCATGTAATAGAGGGTCCACATCATGGTCATATAGAGCACTCAAGGATCCCTGGAGTTCCTATTCCGTCTTTCACCAGGATGCAGGTCAGCTTCTTCTTTGTTTTCGATGTTCTCTTTACTGTATAAAGTACAGTGTAAGCCCAGATGGTGTGGGACAACCCAGGGTGGCTCAATTATGGCAAAAATTATAATCATAATTATTTTGGACAATACTGAGATCATGATTATTTAACACAATTAGCCATTGACCTTGGAAACATCATCATGCATTTATTAAACGTTTAAAAAATCTTGAAGTGAAAAACAAATAAAAAATGTAAAAAAGCTAATTAAAATAAATAGTATATTATATATGTACATACATACATTTAAATAAAGAATGTAAAACATAAATAAAGATAAATAAGATTGTGTTGTAGTGTACTTCCACAGCCTATTGAAAACTACTAAACATATATGAAAATAATAAATAAAAATAAATTAGGTGAATATGGGTTTTAGGGAGGGGTGAAAGTGCACCACTGTAAAGAAAAGGGATGTGCTGGATTTAAAGAGAGCATCGTTGCAAAATGGAATGCGGCACAATCATCGTTTTATCTCAATTGTCTTGTTTTCATAATCGTTGGATGCCATAATCATAATTGAAAATAAAATTCAATTAATCGAATAATTGGTGCAATGTAAACAAGTCATTCAGATGACAAGCATGTATCTCTCTGCTATGAATGTACTTTAACCTATCATAAAACAATGTCTCAGTTTTCATAACTGTTTCCTGTAATAACTTTCTGTTAGGTAATTTTAGAGCATCAAACTCTGTAGATGTCTGGTTCCTATCACCACCACTGTGAACAATTCAGACTCTGTAAGTTTCTCTACAAAAGAGCTTTTCACACCCAACCACTCTGAATGACTTTGTTTACATCTCAATCCCTTAATCCCAGGTTTATTATATACTAAGTCTTCTTATTCAGTAACTACAGGGACTTCAATGCAAACTTAGCTTAAGCTATTCTTAGGTTATATAAGTGTGTAATAAAACTTTGGGCCTGCCGGTGGGCGCTGGCCATTTAAGCGGTTAATTATGCAGGTGCTTTGGAAAATCTGGGGAAATCCATTTTAAGACAGTGGTTTGCAGCTTTTAATCTAATTACGCTTTTTTTTTTTTGAAAAATGAGTAGTATTCTCCTTTATCTTATTTATTTTTAGTATTAACGTGATGGACACTATGATTCAAAAGTTTGTAATTATGGTTCAAAAGTTTGAAAGTACTGTTTTTAATAATATAAAACCTTTTTTTGTTGCTGAAACATGCATAAAATGATTCCAGTGTGATGCTAGTACTGTACAACTTCAAAGCTTTCAAAGAATTCATAGAAAGCTGTAAAAAGACGTTGTTACATGCTGTATGACATCAAGAAGAAAACTATAATAAAATTAAGAGCGGTGATCAAATCACAAGGCACATAACTTGACATACTTCATTATGTGACAGATTATTGTAAATATAGAAATATAATTATAATCAGAAGCAAAATCACTATTTCACCAAATATGTTTCACATACAAGGGATTTGTCTTGGTGAGTGAACACATGTATGACATGTAACATACTGAGCAGATCACAAGCACACAGACTAGTAACAAATATTCCACTAAAGGAAGAAGAGAATAAAATAAAAATACAATAAATAAAATGAAGAATAAGATAGAATAGCAAAGTGACAATGTGAGAGAAGCTAAAGAAATGTGTGAATATCTATACATATGCAGGTCTAAGTAGACTTATAATAACTATAATGTACAGAATATTACAGAGTGAAATAACATTTGTAAAAGATTTACATCTGTACAGTTGTACAAATAAGCATTATGTTACAGGGAAGTTCAGGTTCAGTTTAAGTTCACATTTAAAGTGTGACGTGTCCAGTGTGGTTAAGGAGTGCTGCAGCTTTGGGGGAAAAGCTGTTGGCATGTCTAGCTGTGCTGGTTTTGATTTTCTTGAATTTTCTACCAGAGAGGAGTGGCTAGAAGAGTTGATATCCAGGATGAGAGCGGTCAGCTGCTATTTTTTCGAGCATGCTTTATCACTCTGCTGTTGTGGACGTCCTGAAGTGTGGAAAGACTACATCCAATGATCCTCCACACCTTACTAATGTAGTATACATATTTACCGTTCGATATAGTATAGTATGTGGTATCATTTAGAAACTTCTTGTTGTTCCTAAAAATTTGAAATATTGAATAAAGCATCAAAGAACACCTTATGTCTACTTTAAAATACTTAAATCAACATTGTATACATTATTATTGGATACACCAACACATTCTGTAAATGTGACAAGCAATTCTCAACTTTTAAATGGTGTTATACTGTGGTGTCCAAAGTCTGACCCCAGTAGTGAAAATGGTTCCACTTTGCTTTTTTCTCATTCTTCATTACAAATTATATTACCGGCATAATAATTTGAGTGAAAAGTTGAATCTTTAAAATATTAACATGAATTCCAGAATTTCTTGGTTTTTGGTTTGTCCTCTTGTTTAATGACAGTGAGCATTTGAGCTGGACTCTGGCCTCTGATGAATAGATCAAAACTACCTGAGACTTGTGAACACGAGCTTCAATGAAAGAGATAAAGAGACTAAAAAAATCTGACCTTTTTCTGCAAAGGCCTCAACATAGTCACACATTTGTGTATTTGAGTAGTGACCTTGAAATAGTGCAGAATCTGGAATATTTCTTCTAAATATTTCTTTCTAAACAAAACTTTGCTTTGTTTTACATACAGGCTTAAATGAAAAATCCCAGCTTTCAGATTTTTTGCACTGCGCTGTATATGCATACACACTGATAAAACATATTCATTCCTTTAATGACAGGGTTATTTATCTACTGCACAGGTTGAACATGAGTTCATCTACTATGTCCATGATGGCAGCGAGACGACAGCAGACAATTTCACGCTGGTTGCGAATGACACAGACCTCCGCAAGCAGAGCCTGCCTCACGTCATACACGTGACTGTGACGCCTGTAAACGATGAGCCTCCTGTTATAGTCGTCAACAGGATCCTGAGGGTGAGCTGACTGTGAAAAAAAACACTCATCTGCTCTGATGATGATATCCCTTCAATTATCTGCGCAGTCTGTGCTGAATTTATCACACGGCTGAATTGATTATGCTCATGTTCTGCCACTGTGAAACCTCATGTAGGTACTACAAAGCAGGATTCACTGGTTACCAAGGTAACCGTTTCAGTTTAACCCTTAGAAGTCGCAGTGATCACTGGTGAACACAAATGCATATTGTAGTTTCATAAATTACATTTTTCTTATGTTAATTATTTCTCATAGCTCATTGAATCAGACTGAGAAATTCTGTTATCTTCCTAATCCACAGTCTAATCCAGTGGTTTCAAACTATTTGTTTTGGTGCCAAGACTATGACACAGTACTGTATAGGTGTATACAGTGCAATATATAAACTATAAATCGTTGCTAAACTTTGTATCTCCATTTTTGTCGCTTTTTTTTATGTAATTTGAAATTACATAAATCCAGCTGCCATTTAGAGTGTGTTACGATTTCAAGATAAATGGACCAATAGAAAGGCTCCAAAAGTACTTGGAAACCATCTTGTTCCATTATCTTCCATTCAAAGTTAAAAAAGTGTTTTCCCCTCTCCTGTAAAGTTTGTTTCGACAACATTGATATGAATATCGTCGTATCTCCAAAAAGGCAACTTTTCAGCAGAAGGCATAAACACTCTTTACTTTTAATGTAAGTTAGTGTAAAAAGATTTTATTCCAAGCTATTTTGGAGCGTTTATGTTAATCCATTCATCATTAAATTTTCACGCAATGTAAAGGGAAGCTCTTGTGCTCAAATGATGTAGAAAAATGAAAATGGAGATACTTGTTTTTCTTTGGACAGTGACGATATACAGTTTAGTCGTGTATGCACGTGTCACAGCTGAGGTGTGGTTTTGTCTGGGTTATCTGTCTGGATTCTTTGCATTCCACACTTTATCCCCCCGCATTGAGATTTGGTGGGTTTGTTTGTAATAGGGGCCCCATCTGTGTGTGTGCAGCTTTGTGTGGAGTGTTATGATACAGATGCACGTAGGTGATGAGAAGTCATAACTGCATGAATTCTGCACCCTGTCTAAGCTTTTTCTTTAGTTTATGTGCCTTAGCAGTGAGAATGCTGGAGTTCATCTTGATGTTATTTATTTTGAAGTTTAAATGTTAGATGTTGTGAAATTTACAGTGGAAGATTTAGTGAGACTCTGCATCTTTCAAAATTTGTACATTGCTTTGATAACTTGAGGGAATGGAGATTAATTAATCTCCATGTTAATAGGAAATTCCACCCATTTTTCAAACATTCTCCATAATTAATTCACTAAGATATAATGCTTTTTTGTAGAAAACTTACAAATTTCTTTACAGTGGTAGTAAAAGAAATCAAATATGGCCCTTTTATAAACTATCCAAAACCTACATATGAACCTACACGTGTCTTCTGAATTTTAGATGTAATGTAGATGATGGTAAAATAGCAGTAAATCAGAAAACTAAGTTTTCTGTGTGAACTATTTTGCCTCCCAGCACCCTACATGTATCTCTCAATCATGAATGGATTTTAAAAATTTGTTTTAGGCCCAAAAGCTTCTCAAAACTATAGCAAAACAAGTTCTAAGACATCAGGCAGCATATTTATAATCTTGTAGTTTAGAGGCATTAAACTCTTCAGATGTTTGGTTCCTATCACCACACCCTGTATGAACTCCTCCACTATAAATTAACATAAACTAATATATTTTAGGCCAAAACTTAATAGAATCTTAAAAGAACGTCCCAAGCATCCGACAACAAACTTGAAACGTATTAACAAAGTCACACATTTATTTAAAAAATAAATACCATCCTGAGAGGCATTAAACACTTCCTATCACCACTGAGAACAATACACTAGAATAGAGCATTTCACACCAAGCCACACTAAATGACTTTGTTTACATATTAACCTTTTAATTATGCAGACAATTTGAAAAGAAATTCCCCTTTGAGTGAAGTTACGCACTGCATGCATGTTCCATGTGTTGCAGGTGCTGTATGGAGGTTCTTGGGTCTGTTGTAGAGATGATAATATGAACTGTTTTAATGCTTTTTGCAGTGGAAAATATTCCAGAGTATATCCAATCATGTATTTGTGCCCTATTATATATAGATCATTATTTAATGATGGACACAGTTAGAGTGAACAGTTTGAGTAGTTGAATTATTTCAGTCTAGAAATGAAATGCTCAGTTTGTCCAACAGGAGGCTCAAGACACATCGTACACGCTCAATACTGCAGTGATTTGCACAGCACACATTTTTATTGATATTTACATGGTGACTGTTCTTTACATTGTGTGAAAAGCTCATGATAAATGGACAAACAGAAATGGTACAAAATCACTTGGAATAAAAAAATGTTTAAATTAATTTACAGTAAAAGCTAAGAATGTTTTTGTTTGGACATTAACAAGAAACAAAAGCTTGAACACTCCCGGTCAATTGACATATTTTATCATTTTTAAGTGAAAATAAGGGAACAAACTGGCGTAAATATGGCACTTTCCCACAAATTTTAGTCCACAATTCTATTCACAATTTAAATGCTGAGTTTAACATATTGGCAAAAAATAAAACATAAAATCTACAACATAAAGCGTGCCATTACTTTTGCGCAGGCCGCATTTTATGTTTTTTCCAGATCCGAGTGTCTAGACTTTTCCATACGACTGTCTGTGTCAGGTTCCAGTGGTGCAAAATGAAATTTCATTTGATTACTGTAGGTGTGGGTGGACTCCATGACTGAAATCACCACAGAAGAACTGAGCGCTGAGGACCGTGACTCACCTCCAGAGAGTCTGGAGTTTATCATCACTCCCCCAAGCAATGGGCACCTGGCCCTGAAGAGCGCCCCCTCCAGGCCTGTCTTGAATTTCACCCAGGCACACATCCTACACGGACGGCTGGTGTTCGTACACAGTGGTGAGAAGTGACATCAAACAGCACCTTTACATTTAAACAGTGTAAACAAATGATGTAGAGATTCAAGACATATTTCCTATAGTTAGTGCAAAATGTAGTTTATTCTGAGTACTCACTCTGAATTTGACAGCAAGAACATAATACAAACACCCCCCCCTTTGCTTTGCTGGGAGTGCAGTTACCTTTTTGTAGCTCTGAAATAGGAGTGGGGGATATGACAAAAATGATGCCATGATACTGCAAGACATGTTCACGATACATGATGTGCATCACAGTTTTTAGTTTTTCCTGAGATTTAATAAGTTGAAACATACAAAATAGAACCTGTAGTTCCGCAAATAAAAATACTGTAACAATAATAATAATAAACCTGCAACTACCTACAATAACAAATGATTTTTATCCAATGTTTTACTAACTGTACTGCACTAAATCCAATGAAACAGGCTTAATTATGCTTACTTTGTAAATAAATGTACTTAGTGTTCTTTAAGTACTGATAATATCCACGATATGCTCAGAAAAGCTTATTGTAACATAAATGATCACGATAACTATAAAATATCATCATATTGCCCAACGCTTACTCTAAAATGACAATGAATGCTGATTTATGACTTAATCTTGGAATACAAACTACTAATAAGATGAGTTTTTCCTCAATAGGACCCTTGTCTGGTGGATTTCACTTCCAGGTCAATGATGGAGTAAACTTTGCCCCACGGCAAATCTTCAGCATCACTGCCAAGTCTCTAGTCCTCAGTCTGGAGAGGAACCGCGAACTAAGAGTGTTTCCAGGTAATTTTGCTGGTTCCTTGTTGCAATAACTGTTGTGTTTACCTGTGCTTTGACATAACCATTCATGCTTCTGGCTGTTAAAGTATCATTTGTAAGGTTTATCAGGGTTTTGTTTGCAAGATCGTGACAAAAGTAGACATGTTGCAATGGCGGAGGCAGAATGTGCGAGATTAGCTGACCAGTTCCTTTTTTTTCAGGTTCCTCAAACTTGATTTCCGTAGAAGACTTGCTGATCGTCACCAATGACTATGAAGACATTCATGGGAACCGCACCATCATCTATTCTGTCACCTCACCACCAAAATTGGGCAGACTGGTCAGAACACAAGAGGACAATTCCACAGAAGCAAAGCAAATATCCACATTCACTCAGAACATGGTGTGTTTCAAATCAGACATTTGATTTGGACATACGTTTGTATTTGTCTGTACACGACCCTGTCAGTTTACTGTTTGTTAATATAAGTGGTAAACAGATAACACATCCTCAATAGAGAACACTCTTAAAATACAAAAAATTGAGCATATTGTGGATATTGTGAATGCCTAAAGACACTGAGCAACTGGGTTTCATTCAAAAAAATTAACTGCTTCAATGCAGTACAGTATGTGAAACCTTGAATAATCATTATGAGTTTTTAAGGCAGTTTTAAATGGCATTACTTGTATCTGTGTGTCTTAGTATTATGATGTTTATTGTGTATCATGAAAATATCTTTCATTTTTGTGATATATTTTTGCCATATTGCCAACACATAACATGAAATGTAAAATGTCCCATAACTTTTGCACAGGCCACATTTTATGTTTTTTTTTCACTTTTTTCAATATGTTAAAGGGTAATTTGACCGAATTTTCAAAATTTCTGTGTAATTAAATGATTAAGATGCAAACAAAGTCATTCAGAGTGATTTGACATGAAATAATCCCTTTTAGAGAAACTTAAATTGCTTAGATTTTTTCATAATTGTGATAATAGGAACCAGATATAAATGCCCCTAGAAGCTACCTCACAAAAAGCCACTGCATGCAATGATTACAAATACATTGTGTGACACCTGATAAATTGTTTAACAGTTTTGAGATTTGTCCTAAAATATCATTTTTAAGTACATTTCATGGTGGAGAGGTACATGCAGGGTGTCCTAAGGCAATAAACCAGTCCTCAAAGAAAATTAAAGAAATGTTTTCTGATTTATCACTGGTTTTTCATCAACAACATTACATATAAAAACTTGGACGACACGTCTAGGTTCACTGGTGGGTTTGGACAGTAAATAAATTGACTACATTTGTGTTGTAGACACCACGACCCCCATAAAGAAATTTGAGTGGGTAAGTTTCTACACAATGAACCATTTCACATCAAACCACTCTAAATGACTTTGTTTAAACCTTAGTTATGGAACTATATTATTAGTTATTATGCAGAATTTTTGAAAAAAATTCCACTTTAAAAAAAGAATTCCACTTTAAAATTAGCAAATAAGTAATTGTGCATTAAACTCTGTGGAAGTGTGTTCTCTGTAGAGAATGTTTTAACTTATTTTCACTTAGAAAATTAACAAAATTATGTAATTTGACTGGGGGCATCAACATTAGCGTGCAACTGTATAATGTCAAAATGCAGATATTTTTGTATTGTATTTTGTCTTTGTGAAAACTTAGGACGAATGGACAAACTGTTAGGACATATTTTACACAATATAAAAGGCAACTGGGATTAAAAAAAAAAAACTTATTAATTACTAATTACTGTCTTAAATTATAATCTTGCTGTTCTTTGTTCTGTTGCCCAGGTGAAGGCTGGCATTATCCTTTATGAACACACTGAACCGGTGGGATGGGCAGCGACAGACTCCTTCATCTTCACCTCATTTTCTCCCCCTGCATCCCTCCCACCTCACACCTTTAACATCCACATCTCCTATGACAACACAGGCCCAGAGCACAGGACTGTACTGCTTGCCAATAGTGGTAAGCACTCGTACTGTTGGGAAGATATAATGGGGAGGTCTGGCCATTAATGCTAACATTAAAAATGCTAAAAAAAATAAACAGGAACTATTCAGACCATTCAGACTTGCCCTTTAAAAAGGAGTGTGTACACACGTGCTTATCAACACTGGTCATGATAACGACTATGATTTAGTCTGAATGACTGTCTTCCTTTGTGTGCTTGTAATGTCAGGTGCTGTTGTGGCTGAAGGCAGTCGAGTTGCAATAGATAAGTCCAAGCTGGATGCCTCAAACCTTTTGGGAAAACTGCCTGAAGAGGAGCGCCACTCCTATGAAATCTGGTATGGAGTAACCACATTACCACGCTACGGTACAATCGTTGTGGGCGAGCGGAACCTAACCCGTGAAAAACCCAACTTCTCACAGTTCATCCTCAACAAATATGGAATTACGTATGTGCATGATGACTCAGAGACCACTTCTGACATCTTTCACTTTGATGTGTGGTTGAATCATAAAGGTAAACCTACTCAGCGACCACAAGACACAGACCTTATGGTGTCTGAGTCATTCAACATCACTGTAACACCTGTGAACGATCAGCCTCCCTTTTTCAAAACCCAAGCCCCTGGTCTGAGGGTGGTCAAAGGGGACTCTGTAGCACTAGGTCCTGAAAACCTTCAAGTGGAAGACCTGGACACTCCACCTGAGGACATCCACTACACTGTAATCAGCAAGCCCAACAACGGCTTCTTGGCCTTGGAAAGTAGGTTAAATGAGTCTACAATCACTTTCACCCAAGCTGATGTGAACGATGGAAGAGTGTACTTTGTTCAAGAGGGCCATCCCACCTCAGGAATATTCTACTTCAGTGTAACCGATGGCTTTCACCATCCGCTCTACAAGCTCTTCAACTTAGAAGTTGACAATGTCACCATCACTGTGGTAAATAACACGGGACTGTCTCTTGTGCAAGGGCAGACTACCGTGACCCTGACACTTCAGCACCTGGCTGCAGTAACCAACAAGAAAAACATGACCATAAAATATCACGTTACATCACCACCGAGTCATGGCAGGCTCATGATTATGGATGAGGTAGCCATATGCTTTGATCAGGAGGACCTTCGGTTGGGGAAAGTATCCTATCACATGACAGATTTGTCCTCCTCCCAGGACAGCTTTGAGTTGGCTCTTCTCACTGCTGAGAGCAACTTGACTAATCAAGAGGTTAACATCACAGTCAAGCCACTGATTCATCTTGGAGACCACGTCCGGATTGCTGATGGTGTCCCAGTGAAGCTAAGGAAGGATGTTCTAGATGCCACAGAGCTGGCTTCCATCAGTGCCAGTGACCCGATTTTTGAAATCATCATCCCTCCAAAACATGGCAAGCTAGTAAAGGCAGCGTATGGCTTGGGTGGTCCCTCACAGGCTGTGCAATCATTCTCCTTTACCGACATTGAACAAGGGAGGGTAGCAATTGAGGAACACATCAACTTCACAGCTATATATGACAACGCAACAGCAGTCAGGCAGAATGTAACAGCTAATGTACTTAATGACTCCTTTGTGTTCCTCCTGAAAGCAACAAATGTCCAGCCTGCAAAAGGAGAGTTTGTTTACGTGGTCTTACCATATGACCCAAAGACAGGAAAGCATATTATTGCAGAAACTCCAGTGCAGCCGACCAGAAATCCTTCAACTAACAGAACCCCCGATGCTGTGTCCTCCATGAACCATCCATCGCATACTCATCCAACAACAAGACCACATAGGATCCCTCCAAAAACCCGATCAAGGCACCGTTGGGGGAACCACACACGAAGCAGGTCCACAATTTCCACTGCACCCAAGTCCACGCTAGGCAAACACGACGATCCCCCAAGGAACCCTCCGGTCAGGGTGGAGTCTCTGCCAAGGCCTGCATCCGACCCTCTGCTGATCATCCTGCCCCTCTTGGCCTGCCTTCTTCTCATCGTCATCCTGGTTGTTCTCATCCTGGTCTTCAGGCACAGAAGAGAGAAACGGGCCCAGCCTGCTATGATCCCGGATATACCAGAGAACTCTGGGGAGGACATCGTTCCGCATAGTCCCTATCTGGGACAGCCTGAGAGAAGCCTAACTGTCCCCTCTGTCGTTGTGACCCCACTTACTCCGAGGTGTCCTGTAAGCCCTGTTCTAGAGGCAATGCATAGTGCTGCCTTGGTACCAGCAATGGCGCCCCCTGATTCTCCACTGCTTCTCTGTACTTGGACTCCTTTGGACCATGGTAGTACTCATCGGTGCTCCCCTGCCACACCAACCCTCAGACAGAATCAGTACTGGGTTTGACGCCTTTTGGACCACTGAATCAACTGTGACTGGTTCAGTAGACCCAGCTGATGCAACAAACTTGATATTCTGCACTGTTATGGAAATTTTATATACAAAAAAAAGAAATAATTAAAATGTCTTGAGGCCTGATAAGTTTTCAGTGTCCCTCTGTGAGCAAAAGTGTTATAGGGTTGCTGGCATTTACTTTGGGCCTTGATCCTTTTTTGGCATTTTTCCAATGCAGTTATTTATTGCCAAATAGTTTTACTGTTACACCCAAAGTATTTGAGCCAAGTAAGTTTGTTAAAGTGTTGTGCAGCTGCGTTTTATTGCTAAAATAAGTTATGATCTCATGATCACTCAGCATGTTTAATGGCAGTGTTTTAGATCGGCACTGTTTTAACGTATTATTTCACAAAAGTCAGCAAGTGCAGGCATCCAGCACTACTTTCATAGTTTGTTGCTGTGGGTAACATTACGTCTTCACGTCTTTTTTTTTATCCTCTTACACTGTACTTAGTCATATATTTATTTTGGTCTGATGTGTTTCACAGTACCTTGTTGCCTTATATTTAAAAATACAGCCAGATCTTTAGTTGAAAACACTGTACAAATGTGACTGATGGAATCAATTGTATGTTACTAAATTAACTCAGTTCAGTTTAAATGAGTAACGTATGTTTGATTCAGCCAGTGCAACTGAGCTGTGCCCTGTTCACTAATTTCAGTTTATAGGGTATTTTTTCCTATTAACTCTTTGGGTGAAACCAACAATAGAGTCAGTTAAAGGTTAGTGAGTTAAAATGAAGGGTTATTTTTTTACGTCATTGCTGTCGTTGAGAAAACCTCATATGTTCAAAATGGCAATTTTACAGAACAAGGGAAACATTCCTAACTTTAGTGTAAGGAAATGTCAGTAAAGTAATCTCAGACCATTTCTATTGGCCGATTCATCATGAAGTGTTCACACAATGTAAAGGGCTGCTTGCGTTTTCAAATGGTACAAATGTTGTTATGAGGTTTTCATAGGACAGTAATGATATGTATAAATGTACGAAAGAGAATAGTTTTGAATCATGCCCTCCTTCCTCATAATTTAGAAATAATCTTACACTCAAAGAGCAGTCTCAAGACCACAGGTGCAGAATTTAACTAGGAACTGAAACTATTGTGACTGTTTTGCAAGAAGTGTCTAATTATGTAGTTTTTGTGGTTTTTGGCAGTGGAAGGTTTGGCTGGTGCATATTATAGAAGTTCCAGGCCCAGAGAGGCACAACACTTCAAAGATTAATGTTTACCTGCTCTAACGCACCTGTTTCACCTTAATAAGGGCTTGATCATTTTATGTTGATGTCAACTATACGCAAGAGCAGGGAAAACAACGAACTAGCTTTGTTTTGAAAAAATCAATGTCCGATATAGAGCCATAAAGCCATTAAGTGATGGCACTTAATTTTAAAGTATTCCTTATCAGCGTATTCATTATTTATGTGCTAGTGCAGGGAAACCACTAAACTGTGCAGTGAAATTTGATACTACTGGTTTATAAAGTATGTGATTTATGCAATGTGATTGTAGATAATATGGATTATCTTTCTCAGAGGATGGGCTTGGGATGATTATTTTAAAGGGCCCATATCATGGAAAACTGTATTTCCCTTGCTTTTTTAAATAAAAGAGTTTGATGTAGTATGTAAACATTGTTAAAGTTTCTGAACATACAAACTTAATTCCAAAAAGTTTGGGACAGGAAGTGAAATACTACTAAAAACAGATAGCCGTGATCAGAAAATTCAGTTTGGAGTGGCGCAACCGTCTAAGCGTTGGCCCTATCATCAGGAGACTGTGAGTTCGATCCCTGGTGATGCTACAGCCATCCGTAGCCGGGAGTCCAATAGAGCACATTTGGCCTTGCTCTCTCTGGGTGGGTAGGATGGCCCCTCCCTCTCCCCCCATCACCTAACGCGATGCCAGTCAGCGCAGGCGTCTGTTAGCTGAGGTAACAGATCTGGTGGTTGGCGCTTTCCTCCGAGTGCGTTCAGCTGTCCAATGACGTTGCGTGAGCGGCAGTTCGAAAAGAAGCGGTGGCGCTTCACAGGTCTCGGAGGAAGCCTGTGTTAGCCTTCGCTTTCCTAGCGTTGATAGTATCTTTGAAAACAGTATTTAACACATTAATTATTTAGTTTTTTTGGAAATATACAGTCTTTCCAAATTTGATGCCCGCAACTTGTTTCAAAACATTTGAGATGGGAGCATGTTTACCACTGTGTTACATTACCTTTAATTTTAACGACACTTAATAATCGTTCAGGGACTGAAGATACAAACTGATTCAGTTTTGAAAGCTGAAATTTTATGTCATTCGTCCTCAGCTGTGCAACTGTATAGGCCAGTCTGGTGCCTACACTCTCTGACCATGCAGCCATGCTGTTGTAACGTGCAGAATGTGCCTTGGTGTTGTCATGTTGAAAAAAATGGACATCCCTTAAAAAGGTGCCTTCTAAATGGCAGCATATGTTGCCCCAGAATGTGATCAGTGCTTTCACAGATGTGCAAGTTATCCACTAATATCCCCTAATGCATCATCACTAATGCAGATGATGGTTTTTGAACTTTACACTGGTAACAGTCTGGATGGTCCTTCTCTTCTTTGGCTCAGAGCCCACAACTTCCACTATTTCCATAACCAATCTGACAGGTTGACTCATTAGACCATGATACATGCTTCTACTGTGAATTCAGTCCATTTCAGATGGGCTTGAGCTCAAAAAATTCAGCAGCATTTCTGGACACTGTTGATATATGGCTTCCACTGTGCATAGTACAGTTATAACATGCATTTGTGGATGCAGCAACAGATGGTATTTATTGACCATAATTTTTTCAAATATTCTTGAACCCATATGGTGATATCCATCACAAATGCCTGTGGGTTTTTAACCCATCTGTGGGGTTGAAGGTCATGAGCATTCGTTAACGCATAGTTTTATCTGGATTCCCTGAATCTTTCAAAGATATTATGCACTGTTTGATGTGAAACACCTAAAATCCTTGCAATCCCTGGCTGAGAAGCTTTTTTTTTACTGCAGGGTTTCTGGTAATGCATTTATTGGCAAAGTGGTGAGCCTTGACCGATCCTTGCTCTTAAAGGACTAGGTATTTCCTGAAGGCGTTTTATACCCAAGCATGATCGCATCACCTGTTTAAGGTGTTTTTTTGAATATTTCACAATGTTCCTAGTCTTAAATATCCTGTCACAGCTTTTTTGAAACGAGTTGCAGGCATCAGTTTCAGAATGAACAATATAACGATGCTGATAAGATACAACATTACGCATTTTGTCTGTGTACTGTTTCCATTCAAATACGTTCTGTTTTTACTTGCCCTTTACCTACTGTACCAACTCTTTTGGAATTAGATTTGTACCTTTCACTACCCAGTCTATACAGTCCATGTATGGAAACTATGCTGCAAAAACAGCCTTTTTTGAATTCGCTGTTTCTGTGATGTCACAAAAACCAACTCATTTACATATATCCACTTATTTAGCCTACAGTAGTTTAGCTGTGCCATGAAGGCAGTGGTCACCAACCCTCTTTCTTGAGATCCACTTTTCTGCACGTTTCACCTCCAACATAACACTAACAAACATAATCAAGCACATCTGAATAATTATATGGGTCAGGTGGGATCGATTAGGGTTGGAGCAAAGGTCTGCAGAAAGGTGGATCTCCAAGCAGGATTGGAGTGTTTTACCTAAGGAGTGCTTTTTGAATGAGGCACAACACAGAGCAACCAGTCAAATCAGAGCTCATTTATCTTATGTTGGTCTTAACGGCACAGTAACAAAAACAACAAGTTTTTTTTCTAAGCGATAAAAAGAGGTTGGAAAATGTTCATGTAAAAATGAAATATTTCAACATGCTTTTGTTACATAAAGCCACACAAATGTTAAAAGTGGACCTTATTAACTGCAGCCTTTTTAAATCAGTTGGCAAGCAATAAAAATTAGTTTAAAAAATAAAAATCAATCGAGTCAATGCACAGCTTTGCGAAGGACATAAGTAAACAAAGATCTGATTTTTAAATTTTTTCATGCTCTTCTAATGTTCGCATCAGTGATCAGTGCCTTCCCCACCCAAATGTTTATGCAATTATTTGGCTCATTTATAAGTTCCACATTATGTTTCTGTGCATTTTCAGTTACTTCTGAAAGTTTATTTTATATACTTACATAAGAATACAAAATATACTTGCATGAAAGTATATTTTGTATAATTATTTTGTGTTTGCGTGTACATGGGCACACATGGTGTGTGTGATGCAGTCATTCAGGCATGTGTGGAATCATGCAGTGAGTCAGTGTGTCTGCCACAGCAGCACAGTTTTTGTCACCAATACATAAATGTATTCTCATTTAAAAACACTGCATTTTCTAATCTTAAAGGGACACTTCAGCCAAAATTAAGAATTCTATTATTGCTACACTCAAAAGATGGCTCTTCAGGGGCTCTTTAGTAAAGAAAATGGTTCTATATAGAACCATGAACACTCAAAGAACTTTTTGCATGACTAAAGCGTTCTTCAGATTCTTGGAGAATGTGTTGTCTATGGTTCTATGTAGAACCTTTCTGAAAAGGGTTCTATATAGCACCAAAAAGGGTTCATCTATTGTTATCATGTAAAGCTTGTTACAATAGAAGAACCCTTTTTGGTGTTATATAGAACCCTTTTCAAAAAGCTTCTATGTAGAACCATCTACAGCACCTTCTCCATCAATGTGAAGAACACTTTCATCCCACAAAGGGGGATGAATCATTTACTAAAGAACCCTTGAAGAACCTCTTTTTTAACTGTGTACCTCTACTGTAGTAACTGTCTTCAAATCATCATTACAATGCCTAGTCAGGAAAGGAAGACAACAAGCTAAAACCTACAGTTAGCAAGGAAGCTACATAGCTAACTAGATATTTAGCTCAGCTTGTGTGAACTGTGTGTCTCTGGCATCTATTTTGCACTGAATTAAGATAAAATCGCTGTATTTTTTATGATTTTGTTTGAGGACAGAAGTAAAAGTTACACTAATGCTAGCTTGGTTGCATTTATTAGCCTATCGCTCTGTGGCTGGCTAGCAGGCAGGATTGATTGACACTACAAGGATTTCTGATGGCTGTATGATGCATTTGCATAAAGCATGCTGGGTATTGTAGTGAGAGAACATGGATGAATGAAAACATTACAATATATCCTTCAAACATATTAGGCTTCCTGATAGCAATCATATATCGGTCTGCTGGCTTGATAAGGTCAGCTCCTTGCTGACTGCACTATTGGACCACCTAGATTCTTGTCCTGCATCCAAGATCTAGTTTTCACGTCCTCCACGTCTGAAGAGTTTAAATGAAATGGATTTCATTTAGTTTTAATGCATATGTTGCCTGATGCCTGAGACATTGTTTATGACGGGTTTGAGACGAGGCTTTGGCCTAAAACTCTATATGTGGTGGAGAGGTATGTGCAAGGTGTTGTAAAGCAAAATAGTACTTCTCTCAGATTTACCACTATTTTATCACCAACATTATCTATAAGAAGACTCATGTAGGTTCACTGGTGGTTTTGGACAGTAAATAAAATGGCTATATTAACAACACCACTGTGAACAATTCTGACTCAGCAAGTTTCTCTTGAATGATGCATTTCATACCAAACCACCCTGAATGATCTAATTGTATAGACATTTTGAAGAAAAAAAAATCCCTTTAAGAGGTTAAAACATTCCACCACTATGCCTAACCAAGCTATGCTCTCCATTGTTCCCTTCTGCAAATGGAATTTAGATCTTAACTACTGCATACTTGTTTAATACTAAATTGCACATGTTCATCAAATGCACCACTGAATTATTTGATGACCAATACGTTTGGTATTTTGGCAGGAATATGAGAGGTGTGGTGCTGAATTCTTCAGTGGTTGAGTGCTGGTCTGTCTGTGTGTGGAAAGAAAGGCGAACATTAGCTCTTATAAATAATTCAGCTGCAGTGTGTGGAGAGCTGAACTGTGAGGAGCTCGGCTGCTTGCCCATAGTAGGCATGGAAACTGGTAATAGTTCGCTCTCCTCCTGCTGACCAGTGCCTGCACTTCTGACCAGAACATGCTTTGTCTCATTCAAAGTTATTATGCATTGCATGGCTCTTCAAGGAGGGTGTTTTTGGCAGTCTTTTTATACCTCTAAACAGCACATGTAAATCTTGGGGTTGGGGGGGGTGATGTGGGTGGTCTAGTTTGACAGTCAAACCTTTAAACTTAATTCCACTGTGATAAAATGAATGTCCAGTATGTTCTGCTACCATGATCTTCTGGTGGTTATTTTCACCCCCACTTTGGGTGAGATATTGATCTCTTTCCAGTAGGGGTGGCTGATATGTCGATATTTTAGCATTATTGTGATAAATTATGTCATAATATGCTTTTCTGAGCATATTATGGATGTGGTAAGTACTTGAAGAGGAATTGCACCAATTTTTCAAAATTTCCACATAATTCTGTTGTTGAGATGTGAAGTCATTTAGAGTGGTTTGATGTGAAATGGTTCATAGTAGAAAAATTTGCAGACTTTGATTTGTTTACAGTGGTGGTGATAGGATCCAAGGGTCACCATGTTAATGGTGCCAATACAGTCATTTTATATACTATCCAAAACTTACATGTCTTCTATGTTTATATACATAATGTTGATGATGGTAAAAAAGTGGAGAAAAAATGTTTTTTTTTTTATCTTATCTCAAAACTCATAAACAATGTCTCTGGCAGTGTACTGGTGAACATCTCATATGATAATTTTCTATGAGGTAGCTGTTAGAGGCATTAAACGCTTCATATGTCTGGTTCCCTTCGCCACCATTATGAACAATTCTGACTTGATCAGTTTATCTTTAATGCAGCATTTCAGATCAAATCACTCCAAATTCCTTTTTTACAACTTAACCATTTAATAGTGCAAAAATGAAAATGGTGGAATTCCCCTTAAACAACTGCATGATTACAAAGAGAGCATTAATAGTAATTTTTAACTGGATTTACTGTTACTAAGTATGTAAAAAGCTGAAAAAAATCTTTGCACTTAGTTTTTGATATTTAAAAAAAATATATTGTGATACATATTGTGTATCAAGATAGAATATTTTTGCCATATTGCCCATCCCTACTTTCCAGTTCTAATCAAACCATATTCATATAGTGGTGGTCTAACAGTGGTCTTATTATATATTACAAATCATTTCACAAATATAATTTAAGCATTTTACCCAGCTTTCTGACTTCATGTCTATTCTATAGCTAATCTTTTCCTCAAAGGGCCCAAATCCTACATTTCGCTTGTATTTTATTTCCCACTTATAACATTTGTGTGGTTTTATGTGCCAGAATTCACATTTACATGATCACTTTCCAACCTCTCTTAGTCCGAGTATTAAATAGATTGTTTTTGTTTCTGTGCCGTTAAGACTGATATAATGTAAATGATCTCTGTGCTGTACTGTGCCTCATTCAAAAAAACAATCTAGGCTGAAACTATCCTATAACTTCATCATGGATGAGCAGAGCTAAACTGCACAAAACTGATGAATTATAAACAGGCCGTTTTTGTAACTTAATTTTCTATATAGGGACTGCATGGAATGGAGAGTGAATGGGAAGTTTTGAAATTCTACATCAAAAGTTCAGTTTTCTATGATATGGAGCCTTTAAAGTCTACAAGGCCACATTCATATACCCAAAACAGCCATTTAAGCCAATGATTTGATTTGAGTGGTTCACCTCAGTGTCCAAAGATAGCTTCTGGTTGTATCAGAGTAAAGAGAATCTTATCTGAATAATGAAAGAGGGGGTAAACTGAGCCGAGAAGCCGCGAGTGATCTTGCCTGCCCCGTCTGGAATGTCCTCTAGATAACGAGGGTTAGGCGGTGTTTTCTAGGTCACGCTTCACTCTCTAGCTTTACTCCTCACAGGCGTCCTCTTTCTCCGTTTTCCTTACAAAGTCTTAATGTGAAACAGACGTGGGCCCACTCCTCATGGTGCGTTAGACAAAAGTCTATAACAAGGAAATGTGAGATCAGTTTATAGAAAAAAGTTAAACAAATCAGAAACACTAAATCTAAAACACATCCGAGATTCATAAATATAGATCTGTATTAAAATGCCTCAGGAAACGAGATGGTAATTGAAAGAAAAGGCACAAAACGCCTGTACTTGGCAAATCATGTCCAAAGTGTCAGCTGGTTAAAGTCCAAGCCAAAAGCACAAGGAGAGGAAAACAGGCCAGGCAATAAAAGTACAGGGTTATCAGGAAATGGGTTATGGGCTTTATGCTGATAGTAAGTCCTTCAATGACCTGACTAAAGCTGGTTAAAATGTAAATGTACACTTGGGGGTTATAATTTTAGTTGGCTTCAGCAGAGTAGAAACCAACTATAAATCTGAACCTAAAAGTTACTCAAGTTCCATAAAAAGCAACAGCAATGCACTGAATTTTCTTCAGTCAAACTTGTACATCATTTCTACATGACAAAAATAGATTACATCAACACAGTTGTTCATTTATTTATTTATATTCTAAGCCGCTTATGAGTTACGGGGGGTGCCAGAGCCTATGCCAGTGCTCAGTGGGCAGAAAGCAGGAAACACCCTAGACAGGTCGCCAGTCCATCACAGGGCACACAGACATATACATTCACACCTAGGGGCAATTTTAGTCTTCAATTGGCCAGACTGTATGTCTTTGGACTGCGAGAGGAAACCCATGCAGACACAGGAAGAACATGCCAACTGCACACAGAAAGGACACTGGCTCCTCACAATGCAGATAATCCACACATTCAGTGATGTTGAGGTCTGGACTCTGTGGTGGACAGTCCATTGTTTTGAGAACACCAACAGCTTCTTTGTTTGACTTCTAAATTTTCTTCTTTTTTGTGTGTTTCCTTTTCTCAGTGAGGGCTTCTTGACAGCTACACATCCTTTCAGACCCATAGTGCTGAGTTGTCGTCTCACAGTGGAAGGATGGACAGAAACACATTTTTTCAGATCTGAAGCTCATTGATTTTCTCCTCTCTCTCAAAGATGAAAGTACTGTTTATCTGATCTCATTTTCTCTGTATCTTTCGATCATTTTTTGAATCCCAGTTTGGACACTCCTTTTCTTTAACTTTCATTTGACTTTCTCCTTCATTGTGCCAATGAATTATCTTCTATCTAATCTCATCAAAATGTCTCCTGCAAATGTCTCCTGAAAAATGAATAACTTTTACTTAATGGCTGTTTTGACTGCACATAAATGAAGGGTGGTGCACAGTACTTACATGGTAAGTGGACCTGATAAAATGGACAGTGAGTATATATTTTTCATGTAGCAATGATGTACACATTTAAACCAAGTAAATTCATTGTGATTTCTCAATGCGGGAACTCACACATTCTTTACACACACACACATACCACTCATTAAGAATGCAAGCCATCCAATTTTGAGTACTGACTATTCTATTCTTCAATAATTCCATTAAAAACACTGTGACTGTTCTGTCCGTTGTGTTGAACCTACTACATATTTGTTGAGACTTGATCAGGATGCCTGTATATCGGAGCTGATCCAGAATACTGTTTTTTTTTTTTCCTGTTAAGCTTGATCGTACATGTGCAGGGCCTCCTCCAGCTTGCCTGTGATCCGCTGGTAGAATGCGATTTGTTGCTGGAGGTAGTGCTGCATCTGAGCTTTAAAGTCCCGCACACGCGTTCGGTGGAAGTGCTGCATCTCGGCCAGTGTGGCGCAGGAGATGATGTTGCAGCGTTCATTAATCCCAGCAGATCCGTCCTTCTCATCGCCGTGACGCTGGCTCTCCTTCGCTTTGGTCAGGGCTCCTAGTGGGAGGGGGGTAAAGGAAAGGTCAATGGTCAGAGACTACAGGTCCTTTCATTGGGGGGGGGTGTTGTTATGGTATGTAATAATGCAAATTAAAGGTTAGAGTCATATACTCATATACTCTCAGAACAGAAAAGGTCTCAGATATGCTTTCAACACAGGTGTTTGTCCACTTAAGGACACATTATTCGCTACTTTTAACAGAACCAGTGTGTCGAAGGGAAAGTCAAACAATTTTTCAAAATGCCTGCATGATTAAATTGTTAAGATGTAAACAAAGCCATTCAGAACACTTTAATGTTAAATGTGCAGCTCTAGAGACGTGTTCACAGTGGCGGTGATAGGAACCAGACGTCAATGCCTCGAAGAGTTACCTCACAGAAGGCCATTACACATTTTTTTCAGATTTACTACTATGTTACCATGACCAACATTACACATAAAATCTCAGAAGACTCAGTAGATTCTCTGGTCATTTTGGATAGCAAATAAAATGGCTATATTAGACATAGTGACCTCTGGTAAGGTAAGATTCTCCACAATGCATCAGTTCACATCAAACCACTTTGAATGACTTTGTTTACATCTCAATGATCAAACTATGCGTAAAATGTAACTGGAAAATTGGTGTAATTCTCCTTTAACACAGAATTGCTTTTATGCATGTCTTAACGAACAATGGCTTTACTTAACTTTGCTGTGAACACATAGAGAGTAGTAATATCAGAAACCGAAGGGAAGATCAGTGGCCATCTGCATAAAACATCTCAAACTAGCAGTATCGTACAGAGATCTTCATTTATTATGATATGAAGTGCAAAATTTGATCCTAGATCTGATTACTGGGGACATTAAATATGGGCCTGGGGATCAATTTCTTTGAGAAAGAAAGCTGATTTGTGTCAGCTTTGTTTCATATTCTAAAGCACTTTGATTGAGAGATTGTGAGCGATACGCTTGCTGAAGACATGCATATTTCTCTATCATTATGCAGTAGGCTCAGCACAGCCCTGCACAAAACATGCTTTAATACAAGCTTAGCTTAGACCATCTATGAGCTCTGATTTACGGCTTATGGCTCCCTCTGGAATTCAGGCTAAGACGCTTTCAAACTTCAGCCTCCAAGGCATCTTAGAAGGGTCCATGTTGTGGAAAATTTCCCTTGCTTTTTTGAAATAAAAGAGTTTGATATCATATGTAAATAATGTTAAAGTTTCAGAACGGACCACCACACAGTCTGTATATGGAAGCTACGCTGCAGAAAACAGCCCATTTTAGATTCACTGTTTTTGTGATGTCATGTGAACAAACTCATTTAAATCCATCCACCTATTTAGCCTATAGTAGTTTAGTGCCACCCACTCATACTGGAGCTAGAAGGAGGCTGAACTGCTTTTTGACTGAGACACAATACAGGGCAGCCAATCAGAACAGAGCTCATTTAGATACATCAGTCTTAAAGATGCAGTAACCAAAACAGCCTGTTTAACTCTGAGGGATAAAGAGAAGTTGGAAAAATGGTCATATAAAAATTAATTATGACCATTTTTCGTACATAAAAGTACTGTTATAAATGGACCTCGGGAGAAAATTAAATACAAAAAAGTAGGATATGGGCCCTTTAATGTTACCTTATGCTTATCTTATCTTGAGAAAGCACCTTATCTTGGCATTTTAAAGTTTTTTCAAGCCTCAGTAGGGCCTGGATAGCAATGATTTGTGGTTTATAAACATTTAGTCTCACATAAACCACAAAACATGTAAAACGCAAATTAATATGACTGCAGTTCAACTACACTGCAACCATACGACTGAGACAAAGCTGGTCCTTCAGGCAGTCCAGTTGCTGCTGTAGTCTAGAACAGAGACTGATGTCAGATTTGCTGTGTTACTGAAAGCTCATAGCGGGAAATACTACTTTCAATTAGTTTTACAGCAGCCTTTGACACAGCAGTGTTCCTTTTTACAGCAGGGTAGCACAACTCCAGTCCTGAAAAGAAAATCACCAGCACAGTTTGGTGATTTTCATGCTGAAACACATATGATTGCACTAGAGGGCTGGAGCCCAGTACAGTTCAGTAATCAAATTTCCTTGTACAACTTAAAGGACAAGCTTGGCAAAAAACTCAAATTTGCACATTGTTTCCCCTTACTCCAAATGTAGACCATGAGCCAAGACATGCCTGGCCTCTAAAGTTTGGCTTCTGAAGTTTTGCAATGGAGATACGAGGCTAATGTAGCTAAGTTATGTAAACAAATTAGCGCTGTTCAAACTGCAGGCCTAAATCATCACAGACTGGAGTTCAACCATGTCAAGTTGTTAAGTACACTCAAATAGACTTGCTTATGTGGCTTCTGACATTATATGACATACTGTTATCCATAAACATGAACAAAAGCATGCTGCGCAGCTAAAAGCAGTAGTATTAGTTTAGTTAACTTGGAGCTTCAATATTGTCCATACTTTTAGATAACAGTACGTCATACAGTATCAGAAACTATAGGGTAACTTGGGGGGAAGTTAGTTAGAAAAGCCTCTCAGGGTAAGATGTTCCTGCACTCAGTTTCCTCTATGGAAGAAATGATGGGGCCTAATCTGATCCCGACATGTATACTAAATAGCTATTGTCTAATTAGATCAGATATTTCATTTGGATCACTGCATTCCTAGGATTTACTCCTTGGAAATATTTCTGGTCATTTAGTCTGTTATTCATGTCTTTGGATATTAGTGGTCTATGTGTTTATATGAAGTTGTACAAGGAAATTTGTTTAAAAACACAGGGTTGAGGAAAGTTAAATGCAAAGTTAGGCCTTTAGTAAGATGTGGGTAAGATGTCTCATGCATATTTTGCATACTGCCCTAGAAATCTTACATAATTAAATTTTCATCATGAAGGCACAGAATTGTTTACTGGAGTTTCACTGGCTGGCTAGCATTTTGGACTTAAAAATTAAATGTTGAATACTACTGCTTTGTCAATAATAACAGTAATAACAACATTAAATTAATTTACAGAATATGCCCCAATCACGGGGCAGGATGGCCCTTTTTAAGATTTTCTTTTCTGTGTTATAGAAACAAAATTGACTGCTGTTCTAGTTAATTTCACATACCTATGAATAGAATTATGCATCATCATCATCATCCTGTACACGCTAAACTCATACACAGATATGACTGAGCTTTACAGTAAATGGACACTGTTCTGGATGTTTCACCAAACATGTCTTGGCTGATCAGCTACATTTGGAGTCAGGGGGAAATGTGTACATTTTATCCAACATTTATTACTGATCTCCTGACTTTAACAGTCAAGCAGACTATAATCTAGTAATTTCATTATAAAAAAAAAGTTTGGACACCACATGTAATATACAGTCATATGCAAAAGTTTGAGCACCCCCTGGTTAAACTATGTGTTCTGTTGATTTTCGAAGTTAACACTTCCTCTATAGAGAACACACTAAAATATGGCATTTGTCTGCAAATCTTAGCACACAATTTCTATTTGTTTGTTGAGTTTGACATATTGGAAAAATAATAAAACAAAACGTGCCATAACTTTGGCAAAGGCCACATTTTATGTTTTTTTGGTCTCCAAATATGTCAAACACAGCATATAAACAGCAACTGTATATTCAAATGTGCAGAAATGTGTTCTCTTTAGAGGATGTGTTATCTTCTTTTCACTTAGAAAACCTACAAACCATATAATTTAACCAGGAGCGCCCATATGACTGTACGAACTGACACGGTGACCTCTTGACCTAAATTGAGCAGTGCAGGCTTTGAACAGACACACCAGTAGAAACAAGCAGAAAATCTCCCAAAAAGGTCCCAAACCTTTCTGAACGTGGATGATGTCAGGAAAGTTTGCCAGATGTCCTTGATAAATGGCTAAAAGATCTGACACTGGCTCCAAGTCCTGACGGGGCTGGTCTGCAAAGTAGTCCCCGACGGCCTCGTAGGCCTGCGCGGTGAAGGCCATTGCCTGGTTCAGCTTGAGGGAGTACTCCTGCTGGTCCAGTTCAAATGCCTGACCTAGAAGCTGGAAGGCCTGCCCAACTCTCTGATACTCCTTCCTAAAGCCAGTCACTTGCTTTCTGGCGAACTCGCCCAGGGTGACGTTGACCTGCGCCAGGCTCTCGTCCATTTTCTTGGCGAAGGCTTTGAAGCCGTCCACCTTGCTCTCCACATCCTGCAGGTCAAGAGGGACGGCCGGTGGTATGATTGTGAGGAAGAAGTTGGCGCCCACCAAGCAGTCTCTTTCGGCCTTGCGCTTGCCCTGCTTCCACGCTTTCTCGTCGTTGCTGCTGCAGGTCAGAAAGTGCTGGAAGACGTCACAGCGGGACAGCACAGGGTGAGTCGTCATGTGATTCATCCACCATATCAGGCCCTTCCTGCGCTTGGAGATGAAGTCCTCCTCGAAGCGGCCAGTGGCCTGCTTCTCGGGTAGATGGGGCACCGAAATGACGGGGAACCTTTCCACCAGCCTCGCATAGAGCCAGTCAAAGTGCTTGTAGCGCCTGTTCACCTGGCTTTGCGTGTGGCTGGGGGTCAGTCCGTAGGACATATAGCTCTTCATCCCTTTGAACTTGGTCTGCTTGGTGGGGTCGTCAATGCTGCACGTGAACGGACGTGGATTCTCCTGCCACTCTGGTCCAAACTGGCCCATCACTACACGTATTTTGTCCTCCTCTCTCACAATCCCAGAGGCTTCACCCAGAACGAACGCTTCTCCACCAGATTTGACGAACGTGGAGAACCGATTGAGGTTCCTGCCCACTGTGGCCGAGCTCCTGGACTGCTGGGCACTTCCACGTCGAGGTGAAGCAGGATAGGTAGAGGAGGAGGAGGACGCTAGGGCACTGCCACCTTTGCCTGGCGCCCCACGTGGCTCGTCCGCAGCGGCCGGACCTTCGTCCCAGTCGTCGTCCCAGTCTTCATCACTGCCTTGGCTGGTGGATTGATAGGAATAAGTAGGGTAACCCCGTGTAGGGGTGGATTCGGTGGACGTATCCCCTTGCTGAGCACTTCTTTGATAGGAATAGTCTGCTCCAGCAGCATAGCTAGAATGGTATGCATCTCCATTGCCTTGTACTGATAGTCCTTTACCACTACTAAGTATCTCCACATAGGATGCTGGGAAGAGTCCTGACTCACCCCTGCTGTTGGTTCCTTCCAGCCAGCCGTCGACAACGTCTTCGCTGTACAGCGTTAAAAGTTCGTTTTCCACCACGGATATCTCCCCTGGGTTTTCAGAGACGAAGTCATATAAAGCTCTCGCCCTGAGCGCCATAGCTAGTTTGGAGACGTGGGAGTCTGAAGCTCTGTGGCTAAAGTTTCCTCTCACCGTGGACTACTCGGAAACTTTTTTTTAGTAATTCTGGAGTTCGTACGGTCCACGCAGCCTCGTCGAAAATGATCTGCAGTCGATTATTTCGGCATATTAACGCGTTTTATAGCGGTTCAGCAGCAGAAGTTGAGTTTTGGGCTCGTCTTTCTCCTCTTCTCTGCCTCCTCTCGCTGTATGCAGTCTATGGCCGTAAGCCTGAGTAATCGAGGGTGGAGCCATGCAGTACCACAGTGATCAGCCCGGCTGCATAGAAAACCCAAATGCACTTCGATTGAGTGCACCGAGTTCTTTATGTGCGTAGAGATACGTTTAAACAATGGAAGAGGTTCGATTTTTCACGTTTTCTTATTTAGCTTAACAGGTAAGGGGAGGCTATGAAAGGGCCCATCCCCTACATTTGTTGTGTTAAGTTCATGCATAGATATGATTGAGCTTTACAGTAAATGGACACTGTTCTGGACGTTTCCCCATTTTCTCCTATTAGCAAGGACACCAAACATGTCTTGGCTGATCAGCTATATTTGGAGCCAGGGGAAAATGTGTGCATTTTAATTTTTTATCTACTGACTTTAAAAGTCAAACAGACTATAATTTAGTAGTTTCTTTTTTTTTTTTTAATATACAGTTGTATGCAAAAGTTTGGGCACCCCTGGGTCAAACTACATGCTCTGTTGATTTTCAAAGTGAAAAGAAGTTCACACTTCCTCTACAGAGAACACACTAAAATATGGCACACTCAAGACACTTTGTGTGATTATAAGTACCAAAATGGTTCTATGTACAGTCGTATGCAAATACAATACACAACGCATACACAATAAGTTAACACATTCTCTACAGTGAACACATTCCTGCACATGTTAGTGCTCAATTTCTATTTATTTGCTTATATTAAAAAGAACATAACACATTAAATGATTCATCAAATACATCTGGAATCAAAACACCTGGTAAACCTCTAGAGGCCTTTACACTGTGATATCAACCCATCAGGAAAACAAACAACACCATTAATTTTTACTTTTTTAAAGAGTGTATAAGTCTTTTTAAGATTATGCAACAGTTTTTTCATCAGTGAAGAACCACTTGACCACACAAAGAACATTCATGCAATCAGGCGGTTCTTTGAGTGTCACGGTTACCATTACATTTATGAAAGAGACCTTGAAGAACCACTCTTTTTAAGGGTGAACCAAAACCGATCATAATTCATTTTTACAACTTCTCTTTATCACTTAGAATTAAACAGGCTGTTTTTGTTACTGTGCCTTTAAGACTGATATATGTGAATGAGCTCTGATCTGATTGGCTGCAGACCAGGCTGAAACAGTACTTATAAGTTCAGCATAAATGGGCGGGGCTAAACTTCTGTTGGCTGAATAAGCAGAAATATGTAAACCTGAAAAAACAGTGAATTCGTGATTTTGTGTTTGGTGTTCATATATGGACTGTATAGAGTGGGAGGTTATGGGTAATTTTGAAACCGCAACAATGTTTACATACTACACCAAACTTTTGAAAAAGTAAATAATAAAAACAAAGAAAAACTCAATTTTTCAGGGTATTGGCCCTTTAAAGAGAAGATATTAGAACTTTTATTCGTAAGTGTGCATGTAATAGACTCAGGACTGTGTTTAATCCCCCCACACAAGCAGAACCTTGTTTTTCCTGCACAGAGCATGAAATCTAGACATGCTGTTGATGATAAATAAAAAGCTCCAATGCTCCATATATTCCGTTACACACACAGATGACTCTTCTTTCAGTAAAATAATGTCTCCAGCAATTAGCTACCACAACCCACAAGTATAAACATATCCAGTACAAAAAACCCTGGAACTTCTTAGTACTTCTTAATACATCCAATATCTACCAGCATTAGAACTGAAGTGTGTTAGGCTCTATTTTTCTACTTTTGGATCCTTTTGGTCTGAAATAAAATGCTTAAGCTCAAAGTAAAAGCTGTGCGCAACAGTAAAGCAGTCCAGGAGCAGAACTAATACAACAGAATTAAATTAAACCCAGAAATTAGAGGAAAAAGGAATTAGTGAGTACACAAAACTGAAGAAATATATTTGACTTACTTGGCTATGCTTGGCTATGTCTCTGCAGTAGACACTGCTACCCACGGTTCCTATCACCACTACTGTAAAGAAATGTGTTACTCAGTTAATTTCAGTACAATCATCATCAGTACATCATTTCAAATCAAACCACTTTGAATGACTTTGTTTACATCTCAACTATTGAATTCTGAAATTTTGGAAAATCAGTGTAGTTCCCCTTCAGTAACTAATCAACTACTCTAGTACTCAACTGTGAATATGACCTACTGAACACAACTTACCAGCTATTGTTTATTGTACATTTGTTCGTTTTATAGAATTTCCATTTTGGCAATGTTTGTTAACATGTTATTCTAACTGAACAAACAAGGTATTGATAGATATAATAAAAACTGTAAACTTTTTAGGCAAGAGTTGTGTTATGATGCAGTCATAGCATTGTAACTACGATTTTTTAACAATTTTAGTGGACTTTTATTCTACGACAGGACCTCTTCATACTGGTTGTTCAGTGTGATAAGACAACACCTCCCCTACTAATAACAACAAAACAAAACAAACAAACAAAAAGCAAGAGGGTCAAACGCTTAATATTCATATTGACCAGTAGATGTCGCCACAAAATAGATATAAATGCCACCTATTAGTTCCGTCTCGTCACAGGCGAAGAACCTCACAGCTGGTAGTGATGCTGGATCACGTGATTACGACAAAGATAGTTCGTAAAACGAGAGTGTACAACGTTAGGCGAGTGAGTTAGGAGCAGTTACTACGACTACACCGTAACAGTGTTTTAAACATTCCTTTTCTCATACTAGTTCGTATGTTTTCATTGTGGACACGTTTCCTTGTCGTGTGAAGTGTGGAAATGATGTTATACAGCGGTTTGTTTTGCGAGAAGTCACCCGCGACGCCATGTTGAGTCCTTGTTTTTGGATTATCTGTGGCCCGGCTAGCAGATTAGCCCGGTGTAACGGCTGTAACGAGTACTCGTTGGCTTTTTCCTCGTCAGACTGTGTGTGGATTCAAACTAAAAAAGAAAACTAAATGAGGGCGATGTGTGCGAATGTACAAGAAGACTGAGGGACTACTACGTTTAGGTTTACACATCAGAGGGCGGTACAGAAACAGTGAGTGAGTAAGCGAAGCACTGCTAGCCCTGTTAGCTGGTTATTATTTTGAGGGAGCTTTATTAAGTCTTTTTCCTACCGGAGAGGCGGGGAATCCAAAGCCACAGTTTTTGGATGCATTCGCTTTACGCCAACAATTCATTTGCCAACCTGCTTCGTCCGGGATTTCACTTTTCTGGAGACAACAACAAGCTGTCGAGGCATTACATGGATTATCTGGTAAAGTGTTTACTAATGTTTTTTATGTGGTTAAAGTTGGCTTCCTATTTTACAGCTTCTTGTTCAATATTTTCCCGTTCCACCTTAAATGTGCATCAGTTATATTCTGTCGCCTGAGGCATTAGACTGTAACTGCTACACATTTAAGGTGGAACGGGTAAATTCGAATAAGAGGCTGGCGAATTAGAAGCCGTCTCACGTTTCAGGTTAAGGTGACTAGCTCGCTAACTAGCTAGGCTAAAATTGGTTAAACCTGGTCCCGTTTTAACGGGTTTTAACGTTATTAGGCAGCATTGTTCGGTTATGAGGTGATTTAATGTCACCAAACCGCAATACTGCTTAAGTACGGTCTGACTAGTGTAAGTGTGACTGCATTTGGTGATCACCACATTTGCCATAATGTGTAAAACAAACACAAGCAAGGACTTAACGTTACCTCTCTGTTGTGGTCTGTTTTGCTTTCAAACAGAGGTGAGCTCTTGCTGAATATCCGCACTGGGACAGATTAGATGTTGTGTAATTTGAAGTAGGTTTTCAGACCGGCCAAACAGCTAATAATAACTTTTTATTATTAAATATCTAATAATAGCTAATTATTTTACAGCTCATGACATATTGGTGTGGTGCTTGGAAAGTCTGCCTTGCTCTGTTCTGTTTTTATAGCACTACTTCTTGCACCCATAATTACTATGTAAGATAAGCATAATCATTTTTTTTCATTCAGAGTGACCAGGATTGCACTTTACATAACAGTTCTTCTGCAAGTCAAGGTCCTTTGGGAATGCACATTCATTGGAGTTATGTCACTGATCTCGTTGGAGCTACCAAAATCTAGTTTGGGCTTCTGACTTTGGAGCCCCTGAATATTAAAGGGGAGTTCCACCAATTACTGATCATTTCTGCCTAATTAAACGGCTAAGATTATTCAGAGTGGTTTGATATGAAATACTCTGTTCTAGAGAAACTTACCGAGTCAGAATTGTTCACAGAATTGGACAAACTGAGGAATTTAACAGCTCTGAAGGCTTCCTCACAGAAAATTATTATATGGAATGGTTAAGAATACACTGCCTGATGTCTGGCACATTTGTTTAACAGTAGTTTTGTGATGACATTTTTTAAACCATTAAACACATTTTAAACCATTTATTCTAGTCCATACATGGTGAAGGGATACATATCTATGTTTGTATTGTAGACATTGTGACCCCAGGTTCCTGTCACCACCACTGTAAAGAAATCTGCGCCGGTACATTTCTCTGCAAATAATCTCACATCAAACCACCCTGAATGAGTTTGTTTGTATCTTAACTGCTGAATTATTAAGAAATTTTGAAGAATTGGCGGAATTCCCCTTTAAAGATTAATCACTTTTTGGCACCATCCCCTTTTCTTTAAAATCACATGGATTACATAGCCCTGTCATGCTCTTTCCTCTTTTTGCACATCTGTAGACTTGACGTTAATGGAAGTTTGCTTACACACCACCTAAACTGAGTCAGCGATATTGGGTAGGTTTTTCAGAAACGTCATGGTTCACAGATCACCGCAAGATGATAGAGCAGCTATCGCTCCCAGCACTTTGTCTAATGATAAAGATGGGTTTAACACAATGATGTGTTTGGGAAACTAAGACTTGAGACGTAAGGTTTACGTAGTGAAGCACAGAGCAGTGTGTAGGTATGAGCAGTGTTTGTATTTTACTGTTGAAATGCTGGATCATGTTTCTCAAAGATTTTATTGTGTGAAATAATTTTTTCAAAGTGGTACTGTTTTTTTTTCCCCTACTTTACAGTGGTTTAGTGCTTTGGTGCTTTAGAAAGACTAGAGAGTGAAAGACCACAATAGATATTGCATAGGTTATATGATCAGTCAAAGGTGTTTAAAATATCCCATTTTTAATGTTGAGATGTAAAATACAGGCTTCATTTATATAGTGCGGAGCAGGGCTGCCCTGAGTATGACCCACGGGACACAGTTGACCTGCCTGAAAGTTACCCAAACCCCATCCCTTCACCCACTGAGTGAACAAACATTTATACTAAATGTAGAACTGTGTTTTAGTAACAAGATATGTTTTGAAAAACTTGATTTGGAACCTACACTCTTAAAAAGGATGGTTCTGTAAGGGTTCTTTAGTAAAGAAAATGGTTCTATAAAGAACCATGAACACTCACAGAACCCTTTGCACGATTAAAGGGTTCTTTTCATCAAAAAAGAGTTCTTCAGATTGATAGGGAACATGCTGTACATGGTTCTATGTAGAACCTTTTTGAAAAGGGTTTCATATAGCACCCAAATAAAAGAACGCTTTTGGGTGCTATATAGAACCTTTTTCAAAAAGGTTCCACGCAAAGGGTTCTTTAAGTGAAGAACCATTATTTTCAAGCATGTACCTACCTTCTTTTTGGTATATGGTTTTATTATGGGTTTGGGCCTCCTGGACTACAGCTAAATATAAGTAGTACTCATATAAGAATAAGCCTATAATATAGATTTATACATGTCATGTTAAAGCTAATAACCTTGTATAGCCTCTAACCTAAAATCACCAGCTTTTTTCTAGGAATCACTCAGTTGTGTGGGGTGATTAAAGGCCACCTAGAGTCCATGTGGGCTCGTTACTCTGCTGTTTTCTTTGGGATGTCGTGGTCAGTACTCTTAGAATAGAACCATTTCCTCAAGAAACACAGCTGGAATAAGACCTGGAAGTGCTGGCCTTAACCAGAAGGAGTTGATTTAGGAACATGCCTAATTGTTAAAGTACCTGTGTCCTCAAAAATTCCCCTGATAGCTGTGGATAAATGAGGACAAGTGCCTGCTGCACATTCCTCATTAGTTTGTGAATTCCTGTGACCATTGTACAGTGCTCTTTATACAGGGTGGAACAATTCACAGAATGAATAATTTGGTTTAATACAATATGGTGGTGTCTCGAGTCAATCTGATTTTCCATGTAAGGAGTGCCTGAAGAAAAAGTGCCTTATGTTAATATGTTCAGTTTATTGGAAAGTTGTGGAACTGCAGTATTTGAGACAGTTCTGTTCATTCAGGCTGGTTAATTAGCAGCATGTAGTGCCCTGAGCCAATACACTAGCTATGATAACACAGCACAATGCAAAACAGAATATTTGGCCAGTATATTTACTAAGGATGCACTGATAAAAGAATTGTGGGCCAATGCTGAGATCTGATGTTTGTCTTGTTCATAACTACTGATGTTGAAACCTAAACATTTTTAAAACGAAGACATGGGAACTACATTTACCTGGAGTAGCATTACGGAGAAATAAAACATGTAGTTCTATCAGGTTATAAATGCAGTAAAATAAATAAAATGCAGCGCATCACCTAAATGTTCTGCTTTTCTGAGTACGCTTAATGCGTCATCACATATCATGTTGAAATATTAGTCAAATCTAAACCTTTGTCTGATGCCGGTACTTAATTTTTAAACAATAATCTGCCAATACCAATATGATTCCGATATCATGGTGCATCTCTAATATTCAGTGCTGCTGTTTATGTTTCTGCTGGTTGGACGAATGTTTTTCCACACATTTCTGGGTAATCGGACAATGGGTGGCGGGGGTGAAATGTTGTGTTAAGTTTGCTTGAGCATCACACCTAAAGGTAAAATTCAAAATAGCTGCATGAAAGTTTATATTTGCAGTTGATCTGCTGAGGACTGGAACAACAGGAAGTTACCCACAGGAAGCCATAGCCTTTAGCATTTGCTATTTGAGTGCCATTTCTATTTTTATGTGGAACAAACCAGTGTAAGTTTAATGAAGTATGTGAGCTATCTGGCTTTTATGATGGCTGAACAAGCTTATCAGTAACAGTCTTCTTATCTTATGATGCGTGATCATATAAACTGGTTTAGCCTGACGAAGCCTAAACCAGTCATGCCTTAGTCTGTATACATGCAAACTCGTCACCTTTTGATCCTTACCTTGAGAGCATCTGCAAATTACATCGCAAATAGCAATCATCGGGGTCCAAGCACGACGTGCCATTTTGGAACACGAATAATAGGCCTCTATTTACAAAAGATGTACGGTTTTAAAGGAAGATTCCTGCACATGCAACATTGAATAGAATTTCAACATTTGTTTAAATTTTTGTTGTTGTTTGTTGAAAACAACACAGTTTGAAAGGGTTTTGTATGTTTCTAGTGTTTTCTCTGCTCACCCACCGTGGGATTATCGGATATGTGGAAATTTCCATATAATTTCATCAGCAACCTTGTCGGCCTGATGTTTGTGTGCTCTACAGGTGAATGGAAAAAGAGCGCTCGTGGCTCCCAGTGTGAATTTCCTTCCCAATCAAACAGGTGGAGCCTGCCCTGTGTGGCTGGCACCTCTTTGTATTCATTTTTCTTCATGCTCGGTGGATGTTCAGGGGCATGTGTTATTGTGTTTTTGTTCAACATTCATACTGGTCATTCCCTTCCATACCGCAAGTCTTTTTATTACTGAAGCCAAAACCAGGGTTCGCTGCAGCTGGCAGGCCAGCTTTTAGAGCTGCAATAACAGAGACTTTTAAACAACGGCCATACCCCCCACGAAAATGGTAAATATGTCTGTTTACCAAACTCTCTGTTAGTAAACACAGAGCCTGTCCTGGAGTGACACTGGTGCTGATTCAGCAGAAACAGAGAAATAGAAGGCCTCTCTTTCTGTTTGATGATGAAATTAGCTGCAGTTTAGTTCAAGCTGTGTTTTAGACCAAAGGGATATTGAGTGTAAACATGTGCTCGCTTTGGCCTGTGAGGTTTAGGTTTATCATCACAGTTTCACTGGCTTCTTCTGATGCCCTGAGCATTTAGATACATCAGCAATGTTCCTCGTGTTCTTTCACAATTGTTTTGTCTCTTTAGTCCATTATTTATTTTTGTATGAAAAGTGAAACAGGCTTCAGAGGCTTGTTGTACTGTTATTACGTCAACGGTCAGATGTCAGCAGGCAAAGGAGCAGCTTAGACTGTCCTCAGTTGAC